CCGAGGATGACCTCGAGTTGGAGGAGGAGCTCGCTGAGGATGAGGTCAGCGCGGCCGCCATTGAGTTTGTTCCTCAGCACTCCGACGTGGAGGTGGATCCTCAGGCATTGGAGGAGGAAAGCGAAAGGCTTCGCAGAGCTGCGGCAGAGACGCTGTGTGCGGCCACCGCAGATGGCTCTTTCGAGGCTGCTCTCCAGGCCATGGCTGCTGAACGAGGCGCAGAAGAGGCAGACGCCACTATGGGAGGCGAAGCAATGGGAGCGCGTGACAGTCCACCTGTGCCGCAACCAGCCGAGCCTCCGAGGCCGCGATTCAATGTGTGGCAGGAGCAAGATTGCTGGGCGTCCCGGTGCGGTGGGTACACCGCGGCGCAGTGGGCTGCTTGGTACAATGGTATGTACGCCCGACAATCCACCGGACCCAGTGTCCGAAGATGAGAGTTGGGGCCAATGGCAGCCTGAGTCCCAGGCCAGTGGTCAGTGGGAGGCAACCGAGCAGCTGGCAGGGCTCCGATCGCCGCCAGCCGAGGGTGCTTGATCCTTCCAGATCGATCTGGAGACAACCCCATCGGCAAGGAGCTGGAGCACGAGCTCGTAAACACGAGCGAAGACACCAATATTTGCGCGAGTGCGAGGAGTGCGAGCAGCAAGCTGCCGCTCAGCAAGCCGCCGCGCACGCTGGCGAGGAGGAAGCCGAGTCCGAAGAAGAAGAAGTCGTTGTAGAGGACGAGGCGGACCCTGGCCATATGGCGGAGATCGAGGGCGGGGAGAACTTTATACCGGACTGGAGTCCTGGGAGGACGACCACGCTGTGGACCCCCCTACTGACGCCGAGATGCTTCCGGATTTGTCAGAAGGCCCGCCCGAGACGGCAGGGGAGCCGGCTCCCGAGGCCGATGAAAATCCAGAGCCAGCTGCCAAGGAGCCTGGCGATCTGGTGCGGCGCCTGTTCGGGACGCTCCTTGACGAGCTAGATAGGGTGAGCCATGCTTCTTCTTCCTTTCCTAGTGTGGTTAGTGGTGTGGCTAGTATGTCCCTAGATCCCAAACCTCAGGTGAGTTGGCACAGGATGGCCGTGGCACTGCCACGCGAGCCGACGTGGCCGGCGATGGTCCGGAGGCGGCTCGATGGCTGAGCATGGCCGTTGCGGGACTGTTGTTCCAACAAGGAACAGATTTGTGGCTCACCGTAGCCAGGCCTGAGCTGGAGGAAACAGTATCTGCCATCGCCGAGGAATTCAGAGCAGGGTCCGTGTTGATAACACGAGTGTGTCGCCCTAGTTGCCTCCGTTGTTGCACTAGGTGCTAATGTTGTGTATGTCAGGACCCTGCGATCCGCGAAGCAGATGCTACGACTCTGCGGCCAAGAGCCCGAGGCCAATGTTGGGACTGAGGGTGCAGTTGTGTTTCGACCGGAACCAGTTTCCGTGTACCGTCGTGAAGGGCTTAGGCTGGGTGACTTGACCAATTCCGAAAAGCAGGAAATTACCAAGCGGATTGAGTCTTTGCTGGACAGTATTGAAGGGAGTGGGCAGGCAGGAAAGGCGATTGGGCTGAACAGCGCAGCGCGTGCTATTGTGCATCGGATAGCAGCTGGCCGTGGGTTTTCCCACGAGACCTCAGAGGACAAAAGCGAAATGCTTCTTTTCCATGCTGAGAAAGCCCCCTTGAGAGGTCATGGGCCAGCTTCAACACATGCACTCGTAGCTGCATCTACCCCGCGCCGCCTATCTCTTTCCCTGCCGCCTAGGAGCGATCGCAGCGCTCCCGCACCCACCGGTGCGAGCCCCACTTCAACCGCCGAGGTTGTTTCCCCAGCCACTGCTGTATCAGGCGGTGCTTTGTTCGAGCTAGAGCTGCTGAGAAAGGAGAATGCTCAGCTACGCAAAGAGCTAGAGAGGTCTGAGACGAGGACAGCGGGCCTCCAGACCCAGCTCCGGGCGCAACACTCGCTCCGTCAGGCATCCCACAACAAGGTGCCTACGACTGGGTATGACGCTAGCATTGCGTCGGCCACGCTTCTCCCGGACAGCGAGTGGGTTGACAAGGCTGTCGTTGACATCTCGCCGTCTGCGGGCGAGGGAGGCCCAGTCGCCATTTTGGCCACGGCGTACACACACGATTGTGACCAGATCACACCGGCACTATGTGCCGCGTGCCGGTCCGGTACCAAGGTTCGCTTGCTGGTCGATGAAAAAAGCAGCAAGTCGTGTAATGACGCCCTCCCACGTTTGCAGAGTTTGAGGGAGTCCGGCGTCGAGGTCCACGTCATATCGGGGAAGCCGTTGTCGCTCATCTACCCCCGACAGACCGGTTGGTCTGGAGCGTTACATGCAAAAACGCTCTTAGTGGACCGTGGCTCGACCACGTGTGTGTATGCCGGGTCGCACAATTATACCCGCGGCAGCAGGTGTAATTTTGAAATGGTCATGCGCTACGAGACCTCAGAAGCCGAGGGAGATCCTCGCGTAGAGACGCGTAGGCATCGCGAGAAAGGGCCGCCCAGAGGCCAAGACAGGCCATCCTCGACTGATCTGAGAGCGTAGGTTAGCCTGCCTAGATTTCGCCGTTTGCACGGAATCGGGGATCCATGTCTTTTAAAATCCGGGGCTGCTGGAAGTGGCTGTGTTTGTACCATAGAGACATGTCCCCTCGCTTCGTGCGCTGTGTGTAGGTTGCATTTTGCAGCCGCATCATTGTAGCATGTGATGCAGTGACGTAGCAATTGCATGTCGTTTGCTCTTGCTTTTGTACAGTTTCACGTCAACCCGACTGCAGCTGTGGACACTCAAAGGTCTGAGACTCCCAAGGTGGAGACTCTCTCAATTCTCAAGTCGTAGCTCAAAGCAGTTGCTTAGCCGAGCTATTAGCCGAAGGCAACAAACCCGCCATACTGCTTGTTAACGTACTGCAGCTGCGCAGCAGGTTTTGCGAGCTCTTGAGTGCGATCCGAACGGGATCGAGAAGAGCAAGGAAACAATCGGCTGACCGAGTGACTACGCTAAGCCAAGGAACCCAAGTAGCCTGCTTTGGACGTTTCCCCCGGGTCCACTGGACCTTCTTCTAACAACAACAACAACAACAACAACTACTACTACTACTACTACTACTACTACTACTACTACTACTACTACTGCTACTACTACTACTACTGCTACTACTACTAATACTATTACTACTACTACTACTACTACTACTACTACTACTACTACTACTACTACTACTACTACTACTACTACTACTACTACTACTACTACTACTACCACACCAGCACTACCACTACCACCACCACCACTACCACCACTACTACTACTACTACTACTACTACTACTACTACTACTACTACTACTACTACTACTACTACTACTACTACTACTACTACTACTACTACTACCACACCAGCACTACCACTACCACCGCCACCACTACCGCCACGACCACCACGACCACCCCTACCACCACCACGCACCACGACCATGCACCACGGCCATGCACCACAACCATACACCACAAATATGCACCACGACCACGACCGCGACCGCGACCACGACCACGACGAAGACGAAGACGAAGACGACGACGACGACCAGGACGAAGACGACGACGACGACGACGACGACCACAAGTACCAGTACCAGTACCAGGGCCAGGACCAGTACCAGTACCAGTACCAGTACCAGCAGTACCAGTACCAGTACCAGCAGTACCAGTACCGGTACCAGCAGTACCAGTACCAGTACCAGTACCAGCAGTACCAGTACCAGTAGCAGCCGTACCAGCACCAGCAGTACCAGTACCAGTACCAGCACCAGCAGTACCAGTGCCAGTACCAGCAGCACCAGTACCAGTACCAGCAGTACCAGTACCAGTACCAGTACCAGCAGTACCAGTACCAGTACCAGCAGTACCAGTACCAGTACCAGCAGTACCAGTATACCAGCAGTACCAGTACCAGCCAGCAGTACCAGGACCAGCCAGCAGTACCACTACCAGTATCAGCAGTACCAGTACCCGTACCCGTACCAGTACCGGTGCCAGTACAAGTACCAGTACCATTACCAGTACCAGTACCACTACAACCGCCACTACCACTACCACTAGCACTATACCACCACCGCCACCGCCACCGCCACCGCCACCCTCCGCCACCGCCGCCCGCCACCACAGCCGCCGCTGCAGCCACCGCCGCAGCCACCGCCGCAGCCACCGCCGCAGCCACCGCCACCACCACCGCCACCGCCACCGCCGCCGCCGCCGCACCGCCACCGCCACGACAACGACTACTACTACCACTGCCACTACCACTACCACTAAACCACCCCATTTTGCCACTCTGATTACTGCTACCACTATACCACTACCGCCACCACTACCGCTAACGCTAACGCTACTGCTAACGCTACTGCTAACGCTACCGCTACCGCTACTGCTACCGCCGCTGCTACCACCACCAGCCGCCAAACACAGCGGCGGAGTTGCAAAGGGCCTTGGGACAACGCTGGGACCACAGTTCCCCACAGACAACCCCAGTGCAAACTCCGATATAGTGCGTGTGGCTAGAGGTCATGAAGGCGCCCCTATGTGTGTCAAATGTGCCTTGGGCAAGATATGTTGGTTGACACACTCTTTTGGGACGGTTCCGTCACGCTGCGTTGGATGCTCATTTTGCCAGCTCCGTTTTGCGACGGTGTCGATACATCCGCATGCTGAACTGTGCCCTTTACGGTGTTTTTACGGTTGTTCTCCTGTTGGATCACGATGCCCTCGAGGCGCAGCTTCGTTAATTGCCGACCAAATCCACACTTAGTCACTTAATCCTGTATTTTGAGATCTTCACCGATACTGTTTTTTTGCTAACGTAATTTTGCAAGTTGTCTCAAACATGCTTGTACCGCCTTCAGTCCATGCAGCACAAAAGACGGTTCGTTTCCATTGCGTGGCACTCCTGCATATCCATCGCTTCGGAGTTTAGACATGCGAGTCCCCGAGCTCTGCGACGCAGGCTGGAAGTTCCTTGAAAGCTCGACGCTGCAAGGATGTAATGCAGCTCTGTTGCGACCCAAAACAAAACGAGAAGACTCTCCTTATATCTCCTCAATGCCAGGAGAACCGACCACCTTCACGTGACCGCTCAAAGGCGCTGCCCAAGGAGGTGCAAGGGGAAAAGCCAGTTGGTCGACGGGCTCACAGATTCACTCTGCGTGTAAACGTCATTAAATATCTTGCTGGAATACGCTGAGAATGTGTCTTGACTCGTTGCGGCAGGACTTGTCTGAACTTGGAAAGGCGAAAGAACAAACTTCCAAGAAGGAGCAGCATAGACTCGACTCTAGACGTGAAAGTGCATACACTTTGCACAATCCAAATAATCCAATCCCCATCTGCCAGGATCAGCAGTTGGTTGCTGCACACGAGCGCTTGCAGGCCAACGATTTTAATTTTTAACATACTTTTGGCATCTTTGAGCTGACTGAGCATTCTCCCTCCAGCAAACGAAAGGTGCACGAAGAGGATCTTAAAAAGGTGCGGCAAATGCTGCAAGACAAGGTGGCTTTGCAGCCACTGCCCTCACGATTTCAGATCAACATATGATATCAGGATCTCGCCTTGAACGACCTTCGTGGCGAGCACGACGTGCTCAAGACTCTGCTCGAGGAGCCAGCGGGGCAACAGGAAGGTAGCTGTGAGCAGGGGCAAGTACTGCGCAGGAGCGCTCGGCAGAAGCTGAAGTCGCCAAAAGAGATGCCTGCAAGCAGGATGCCGGCACCACTGGAGAAGCCACAAGATTGTAGATTGCACCTGTCCGCATGTCGCAGGAGAACCTGGCTGCTGAGCTTTCTGCCCAGCTGCAGGCCCGTCACAGCCCGTTGGTGGTCGATGAGTCTTTCAAAATGTCGCAAGGCATCCCAGATCGACCTAGAGAAGACAAGAGCTGAACTGCTCCACAAGGAGCACGTGCGCTGAATGTTTCAAATCTTGAGCTGAAAGGAGCAGGAGTGAGGCCAGCTAATCATTTGGTGATTGCCTTGATCTAGGAAGAGCACGTGAAGCTCACTGCAGACGAGATGCAGCAGAACGGTTTAGACTTGCAGGCCTTCGCCCTTTTGCTACATGCTTTCCGAACCCGCTATTGAACGCTATTGGAAGAAATGGCTTTGCACATGGAAGGAAGCACGTGATTCTTTGGCAGCCCTGCGCCAAGACATTCAGAACAAGGCCAGTTCCTCAGCTTAACAGCGTTGGAAATGATGCCTCCTTCCGCGCCGCTCAGACAAGGATCTCGCCTTGAACGACCTTCGTGGCGAGCACGACGCGCTCAAGACTCTGCTCGAGGAGCCAGCGGGGCAACAGGAAGGTAGCTCTGAGCATGGAGGCAAGTACTGCGCAGGAGCGCTCGGCAGAAGCTGAAGTCGCCAAAAGAGATGCCTGCAAGCAGGATGCCGGCACCACTGGAGAAGCCACAAGATTGTAGATTGCACCTGTCCGCACGTCGCAGGAGAACCTGGCTGCTGATCTTTCTGCCCAGCTGCAGGCCCGTCACAGCCCGTTGGTGGTCGATGAGTCTTTCAAAATGTCGCAAGGCATCCCAGATCGACCTAGAGAAGACAAGAGCTGAACTGCTCCACAAGGAGCACGTGCGCTGAATGTTTCAAATCTTGAGCTGAAAGGAGCAGGAGTGAGGCCAGCTAATCATTTGGTGATTGCCTTGATCTAGGAAGAGCACGTGAAGCTCACTGCAGACGAGATGCAGCAGAACGGTTTAGACTTGCAGGCCTTCGCCCTTTTGCTACATTCTTTCCGAACCCGCTATTGAACGCTATTGGAAGAAATGGCTTTGCACATGGAAGGAAGCACGTGATTCTTTGGCAGCCCTGCGCCAAGACATTCAGAACAAGGCCAGTTCCTCAGCTTAACAGCGTTGGAAATGATGCCTCCTTCCGCGCCACTCAGACAAGGATCTCGCCTTGAACGACCTTCGTGGCGAGCACGACGCGCTCAAGACTCTGCTCGAGGAGCCAGCGGGGCAACAGGAAGGTAGCTGTGAGCATGGAGGCAAGTACTGCGCAGGAGCGCTCGGCAGAAGCTGAAGTCGCCAAAAGAGATGCCTGCAAGCAGGATGCCGGCACCACTGGAGAAGCCACAAGATTGTAGATTGCACCTGTCCGCACGTCGCAGGAGAGCCTGGCTGCTGAGCTTTCTGCCCAGCTGCAGGCCCGTCACAGCCCGCTGGTGGTCGATGAGTCTTTCAAAATGTCGCAAGGCATCCCAGATCGACCTGGAGAAGGCAAGAGCTGAACTGCTCCACAAGGAGCACGTGCGTGCGCTGAATGTTCGCCGATTTCATTCATGCTTCTAGCTTGAGGCGGTTTTCTGGAGGCTCTGGCAGATAGTTCATGTCACTCGTTCCGAAGCACTTTGGCCAGGGCCTGTTGCGATTGTTTGATATTGTGTGGCTGTTATGGGTTTCGGGTCCATTTTTGAATTAGGGGGAGTGTCGATTGAGACCCGGGTTGCTACATTTTCTTCCTGGCCTGGTCCGACACCTTGGTTCTTGGTTCTGACCCCAGGGTAAGTTCGATGTGCGCGTCCACGCCGTTAAATTGGCAATAGTTGTTTGATGTTGTTGCTTTTGAAGGGGTTGAGACTGTTGCCCTTCCTGAGTTGTTGTGATTTTGTTGCATGTGCTTTGGTGCACAGGATTTGGAGGTGCAAGATGTTGACAGCAGGCAAAGAGCAACCACTTCCGAGCTGGAGGACGGAAATGGCATGAAATAGCTGCCTACCAGAGAGTGTAAACTCGCTTTGGATATTTTGGATGTGCAGACTTGTGCCACGGCTCTGGCATTGGCCGAAGCGGAGAAGCAAGAGGTGCATGAGAAGGCAGGGCCACGTCAAAGAAAGTGCCATCCCGTCTTGCGGCGGGAACCACTGCAGCCTTAACCATCTTAATTCGATTTCACATGTGAAAGACAAGTGAAAACAGTCACAACATCAGAGCCCTGCACATGGGCACATTCACGCCACTTGAGGTCCCAGGAGTTCAGGTGGCTTCACACCTGACCTAAGTAGAGCTCTATCCAGTCTTGGGGGGCGCGGTGCAGCGGGTGGGCGGAGTTGCTTTCCTCCAACATCCTCCTCCGCAGAGAATGGCGAAAAAGCGTGCGTGGTCAACAAACCCCGCGCTGCAGAGCACCTTGTCACAGACACAGTTGAACAGAACTCTTGTATGCAGCACCACAATTGAGTAGGATCGCCACAGTTGAAGGGCGTGTGAGATGCTGTGACAAAAACGTGATTCACCGTGGCACCATGACGCGCTCAGTTTGCTGAGCTTCGTGGCCAGTACTTCGCCGCTGAGCAGGCGCAGGAAAGCAGGGTTCGAGATAGTGATCTCCTAGCAGCTAGTTAGCATCTAGTCTTGTGGCTCCCTCCACGTTTCCGTGACAGGAGGCCAGCCGAGAGTTGATCGAAGCACTGCGTGGGGAGTTGGCAGATTTGGCAGCTGCTCTGCGTGTAAACAAGTCTCGCAAAATGACATGAAGCTTCCATAGACTTCATGGTACAGCTGCTACAAGCTCGCATCGTGTACTGAGTGTACCGACTCAGGCTTCGAGGAGTACGCTTCCAGAGGCCCGACAAACCTGAGCCCCGTGCATCCCAGCGCATCCCGGTGCATCTCGCATTGCCATCAAACAGATGAGTCCAGGTACATCCGTTCAAACGACGGACCCCTGATATTTAGCAGTTGCTGTTGGTCAGGGGGCGACATCACCAGGGCAACTTGAAAGACACGCCCAAGCCAAAGTCAAACCGCTTGAAGCTTCTGAACGATTTCTTGATTGGACTACATGCTTGCCATATACGCCATGTACGTCACTCAACTCCTTTTACCGCCCTCAATGCCTTTTCGCGCCGCCCTCACCCCATCGCCCTCTCACCACCCTCTCCGCCATCCCATCCGATCCCAGCATCACGATGATGAGCTTGTCGTTGGTCAGGGAACTCATAACGTTCGGAATTGCTCGTGTGAAGTACGCGCGCGCGCGGGTGAGCGCGCGGGCGCACGGGTATGTGTGTGTGTGTGTGTGTGTGTGTGTGTGTGTGTGTGTGTGTGTGTGTGTGTTTTGTCGCACTGTTGTAGCGTGGTAGGCAAGTCCTTTTGACGTTAATTACTGCTTGTTTGTTAGGTGTGGGTGATATTTCAAGTCATGATGCTCAGCAGGGCCTGTGCGAGGCAAAATCCATGGGCGTGCGCAGTCAGGCCGTAGCCTGGCGCTTTGCTTATGGGGCAGCCAGCATCAGTTCCCAACGTTCTTCGTGTTCTTTTGGCACATTAAAATGTCAATTCCTCTGAACCTTTCTTACCAAAACGGAGGTTGTTTCGGGCATGGCTTTGCGCCGCACGTCGAGCAACGTGAATATCATGAGCATGAGTCTGAGAAGGTTAGGCTTGTGATGGCAGAGGGAGCTTGCAACATCAACAGGTTCGAGGCCTTTCGGCCCATGGGATGTATGAAACAAGTTGGTGCTGAACATGACTTGCTGCTTCTGTGTCGCGCCCATGAACATGCTCGGGGTTGAGTGGGGGTGTGCGGGGGGTTGGGGGTTGCGTTGACTGTCGTTGTTGTCGTTGTTGTCGACGATGCCATGCGGAGGTTCTGAGTTTGGTGTGAGGTGGTGATGTCATGCCAATAGGTAACTTTATCCATGCCCTTCTTGAAGCGTGACCTTTTTGAAGCTAAGTAAGATATTCAAGCAAATTTTTCTCGTATACAGTATTTCGATATTGTAATCTACAATGGCTTGAATGTATCCATACAGTTCCCCCTGCCCCACCCCTCCCCCCCGCCTCCTTCTTCGCGCCTCCCCCACCCCCGCGATACCATCCCCTGCCTTAATTATTGCACCTGAACACCTCTCGCTCAGAGAAGCGCATGCCATGCCAAGCACGACAGGCATGTCACTTGACAGGCTGCCGACCCCAGCGACTTTTCACAGTCATAAAAAGCGTCATCCATGCCATGTAAGGCAGGAGGCACCAATACATGTGAAGGGATATTTCGGAATCTGGCTCATATGGTGCCATATAGGCTTGCAACACGGGGCCTCATCTTCTGGAGAGGTCTCAGAGAAAACATGGTTGTCCTGCATGCCAACTGCCGGACTAGTGACTTTTGCAATCTTTTGCAGGTCGAGAAACTGCAGGACAAAGACGATGGTGCTTGCACGTGCTTTCCTTTTGCATCCTGTCGGCCCAGCTTGTGCCAGGACAACCTAACTGCCGTGAATGCGGAACTTGAGAATGCACTGGCCGTGAAGGCCCCCGTACTAATCGTACGTGCGCTGCAGGCTCGGACAGTGCGCAGTGGGCTTGGCGTGTCGCACAAAGGAAAGCCTCCGAGCAGATCTAGACAGGCTAAAGTGCGGGACCCAGAAAAAGCATTGTAGAAACTTGTCTTATTTTTTATCGGAAACATGTTTCAGACATGTTCAGACTCTTAGGTTTGCCGAGATCAATGCCAACATGACCAAAAGTGCCAAGGACAGGCGCTGCAAGCAGGAGTTTGGTGCTGGCGTGTTCCCCAACCAAACATCAGAGCAAGGGCCGGATATTGGGGTCTACTAGGGCAGGTGTGTTTGGCCATATATCTGGGGTTCCTTTTGGGTGGGGTGGGGCTATGAGCGTGTCAGAAAATACACCATACTTTCATGTTTGTCCCAATGAGCCCCAACTGCCCAGAGCTGCCCCCTGCTCTTCGCAGAGGCAGTTCTGGACCTTAATTCTCAACAGGAGTCCAGGATGGTCGGCCAGGCGGTGCAAAGCCAGCATGATGTGGTGGGGAGATCTTCGGGGCATGGGCCCTTGGAAAAGAGGATTACGTCATATGAGGGGGTGGGAACCTGACAAACTGCCTGAACCCCGCCGAACACCGCATACGTAACGGACTAGTCCTAGGACTGGTAGGGGTGAAGGTGCGTACATAGAGAACAGTTTATCCATGTTTATCCACAGGACCGCGCCGAGGCTCAGGTCAAAGAGCTCAAGCTTGACGTCGAGCATTGGCGACAGAAGGCTGGAACTTCAGAAGCGTGTGTCATACATTGTCATACGTTGTCATACATACCAAGTCATGCTACTTGCGAGAAGGCTGATCCGATTGCCAGGCGCAAAGCTTGCAAAGAGATGAGGACAGAACAAAGCGCCAAAACCAGGCGCAGACAGTCTTTTGGCAGATGTCAACGCCTGCTGCTTTTGTGGGGACTTAGCCAAGAAGTCACGTAGCTCGCCCCAGTTTCATCAGGCCAGTGGTGGGATGGCTTTAATTAATGTACGCATGTACAGTGCTTCAATCCATGTGCCCTCCTTGCAAGGACATCTCATGCTTAGAGCTAGAAGTCAAGGCTGGGCTCAGCTTTCAAAATAGTGTTGCTGTGCAGGGCCATTCGTATGCAGGACCTGCATCAGCAGAATGCACAGCTCTTGCTGACATTCCAGCAGTTCAAAGCGGTGCATCTCTGAGATCGCCAATTATGTTGCACACTTGCTTCGAGCATCTTCGAGCCTGGCAGACCTGTCGAGGAGTTGGACACTGCATTAGCCGAGAACCACAGTCTGCAGGAGAGACTGAGAGACTCGGATCACATCAGATTTGCAGCTGTAGCTTTATGAATTTCCACCTCGAGGACACAATCGACATGTACGAAACGAACCTCCAGCGTGCCACCGACCAGACAGCTGAGCTGATGGGCCACAACAATCCAAAGCCGACAGCCAAGTATCGGCAGAGAGTGCCAGCAAAATCTCATAGAAGTTGAATGCTCTGCATCCCACAGACCGGCTCAAACTCACGGCATTTCACGGGCTATGTGCAGTGTGTGGAGTGTGTGGCGCAGTGTAGCGCAGTGGCAAAGCCATGTGCCGAGATGCTTGGCTCCAAGCTCAGAAACACAGCCGTGCCTGACATCGAGTCTCAGTTTCGGTAATATTTTCCTGAGCATTTTCCTGCAATGTGCGTTTGCAATAATTCTGGGGTTACGTTGATGCATCTGTTCACATGTTCTTGCCAAGCGCACTCTCGCCTACTAGTAGGCTTCGTGTTTGCTTGAAGTCGTGCTCATTGGCTCTTGATGCTCACTTCTCACTTGCCTGCCCGTGAAATTTGTTTTGGATGCGTCTTGTCTTGATCCTGTGCATATTTGTGTTTTCTGCGTTCTGTAGGATTGCTTAGAGACGCGTGTGTCGAAGTGGAAATGGCGCTCCCCAAAGCCAGCCACCACGACTTAGCAAGCAGGGGCTCGAAATTCAACAACTGCCGTAAGCGACACCACGAGATATCTTGGTCCCAGCCGTTAGAATGTTTTCAAAGAATGGATGCCACCGACAATGGATGCCACCGACAAACCATGCATCATTGCATGACGGATGTGCTCAGTAAAGTCTTTGTGCAGTCTGGTGTGCCGACTATCGGATACTATCGTGGTTCCGACGACTTGGGTCAGTGGATTCCACTATCGATACTATCGTTTGGCACCAGACTTGGAAGTCCGTTGAAGCTTTTCAGAATGCAGGTTGGTCTTCTGTACAGTTTGGACCCAAGGAGCGCCTGCACCTGATAGACGGTCAACAGACGGTCAACAGACGTCAACAGTGTTTCGCCAGGATGAGCAAGGCTTGTGTGATGCCAAGCTGGTGTTGGTTGTTCGAGCTGGGCAGTCGCATAACTGCATTGAAGAGGCTTGGCTTGCCGTATTGGCGTATTGGCGTGTTCGTGCACACTGTACAGACACTGTACCTTCGACGCGGCTCAGATTAACTCCGATGTGATCGTGGTGAGCATCGGCGAGCCGAACAAACGGGGGTCAGTCGCCAGTGTTAAAAGCAAGTTGTGAAGGGCACGCTGGGGGCGAAGGCGAGCGAACCGCGAACTCAGTGGTTTTCTTCGAGCCCTTCTTGGCCTCGCAGAGGATCAGGAGCCTTTTCCGCTTTGACCGTTTGCAGCGCACAGGCTCAAGACTGCACATTTGTCAGGTTCGGTTGCAGGACAACGTGAGCAACAAGAGCACGGAGCCCGGGGAGCACGTTCGCCCATGTTCGCCCATGTTCGCCTAACTTTTTTCTGCTTTGCATGCTCCTCTGTCCAATTCAGGCAAAACTTTGTTCCTGAAACGGCTGGCCTGCGACAAACGGGAATTCATTTGGCAGCTTCAATCCAAGGCTTCAGAAAGAGTCTCGTATGGCTGCGCAGCGATCTGATCCAAACCTGACAGGTGGGTGACAAACAGCCTCCGCGCTTTGCGGCCGAGGAAGCAAATGCTGCATTTGCCTGAGTTTGGGTGTGGATCAGCCGCCGAAGCTCTAGGGCATCAACCGGCAAACTTTGAGGACAACAGTTAGTGGATTCATGTGGATTCCATGAAAAACCTTCGGGACAGTTGCAAGACAACACTTCGTCGCGTTCACACACATCATACATCTGACGCGCGGGCGTGGTGTTCTCATTCGTGGCGAGTTTCGGCAAAGCGCTTGTCATTGAAGCGCCTGCTAGCTCCTAGAGCCTGGCTAGAGGCGTAGAGGATGTTAGAGGATGTTGGAGGTTAAAGGTCTCAAAGCCCAAAACCGGACAACGGCCCAAGCAATGTCCGGTGCACTGCCAGTGGAATGCAAAAGATGAAGTTGGCAACTTGCATGGTGAGGCCCTGCGTTTGGCAGACTCTTCCGCAAAGCGCCTGAAGGTGGGTTCCTTGAGGTTTGAAGTGCAGCACATGGCAGTACTCTTCCCACTAAGTGCTTTCTCTGTGCAGGAAGAGACCGGCGAATACCGCCGCTTGCAGGAGGAGGACATGTGCGTGTGAATCGGCAACATGACAGACAGACACACACTTGACATGAGTTGTCAGTCGCAAATTTGCTCTTCCTCGTGTGCCGAATCTTGAAGATGACTGATGCATTACACAAAAAAGTGCGACGAACAGCTTTCTAAACATCCTCACGTGTTGGACCTCCAAAACGAGCAGGTGCATGTCAAGACGTCCCTTGACAGTTCTACATCTTGCCATTTTGGTTGGATTCTATTCCTAGATGTGTGTTCCATCCTCCTGTTGGAAGATGAAACTGAACTCTCACATACTGCAAACAACGTTCGTCCTACTCCCTTGGAAACAGGGCTTGCGCAGACACACGTGGGCAAATACAACGACACAAGAATGTGCTTGAAACGAATCACCTTAGCAACTTCAAAGGTCGCTTGGGTCAATGACAGTCAATGAGGCCAAGTCAGACAGGATAGTCCATCCTGCGTTTTGTTCATCTAAGTAGTTGTGTGTCTTGAACCCCATCGCTGTTTTGGAAATAAGCTCCTTACATGGGAAATTCTTTGGGCAACAGAGATTGTGGAAGAAACGACCAAGGCATCCATCTGCTCCAAGCTGGCACGTCACAACGTGACCAAAAGCCCCAGGAGTGCCTTCTTAATTGTTGAATACGGCAGTAATCGAACATGGAGACTCTGCAGTTCTTCAGCAACCTTTTCTCTCACGCGCAAAATCAAAGAAAGCTCAGAGCCATAACAGCTCTCTGGCAGGGCAGAATGTGTGGCATCCGCGTGACACTGCATCTCGGGCAGTTGCGGGTGCATGGCCGTGCTGAACACAATGTCTGGTGAACACAATGTCTGACCTCACGCAGATATGGACTGTGATGGTGTGCAGCTCACTGGCCTCCTCTTGCGAACCGGCTCTTCAGCCCCTTGCCTTGCTCGGTCCTGTGCGAGGGGATCCTCCCCGAACTTGTCTTTTTGCAGGGGGCGCACACGCGCCCGCCTGCCTATGCCAGGCCAATGAGCATGTGGGCTTGTCGCTTTCCCCTTGTGCTGTTGTGTCCTTGCGCCGCCCTCAGAAGTAGGGACGGCGTCTTTGCCGTTTTGTTTTGTCGTGGCTCCTAGCCAATTCTGCCAGCTGACATGTGGCAGCGTTGGTTGCTTGGAGCGCCCTGGCTCTGTCAATCTTGCCGGAAACCGGAAAGAATGAACAGAAGCACCGAACTAAGTGGCTGCGGGCGTGTAGGGTGCTCTGTTACTTTCACACGGTTAAATGGCACGAGACCTAGGTTTTCGTGCTATGTTGACGAAAAAACATGGTTGTTGGACATCCAGGAAACTACTGCATTCAGGAGAAGATTACACTCTGTTTTGTTTGGAGTGCGCATCGAGAAGCGACACTGGAGCCGTATCGAGAGGTCAGCGTCTGCAAAGCCGCGAGTGCATGGCACCCAGTGAAGAAGCGTGCGAAGCAGATGCCATGGCAGAGCTCCCTTTCGACTCTCCAGTGAAGATAGCTCAAAGGGTGGCTGTCCAGAGCCCGGGTGGTGCGATGCAAAAGAGTAGAATACAGAGAAGGAGAACCAGGGCGCGACGCTTCCAACTCCTCGACAGGGAATGTGGACAGGCCTTGCAGTGCAGCCGGCAGCGACACACCTCACAGCCGCAGTATGATGACTGCTGACAGCGCCAAAGCGAGCCATGCTGTGCTGAAGCTGTGCTACATGAAGGTGGACTTGAGGACCCTGAAAAAGTCTCAAAAGACCGGAAAATCGCAGCATCTACCAGGGCGCCCTATGCGCCCGCCACCAACTAAGTTGCATCCACTCTCGGCACTCCCGAAGCTAGCTTCAGAACTGACGTGGTCAGACGTTGAGCATCGTTGAGACCATCGGGCTGTAACGTAAGAGGGTGAGGCGATGCATGACGCCAAGCTCTTCATTCGCTGGAAGCCGCCCCCGTTCTCCGTGCCAGCACAAAGTGTGAGCCTCTTCGTTGTATGTTCGCTCAAACTTTGTAGAATCCCCCTGCCTGAAAAAGGGGACAACATGCAAAACATGTTGGCTAGAACTGTGCATGTGCGCTGGGAAACAGTGTGTCACACCAACACACAGACAACAACTGCAAGTCTGGACCTGCATACTACTGCACATCTACTGCACTTCGATTTCTATCATGGTTTTCCACGATGCTCACGCGCCCTTCTTTCCAGGCACATGCTGAAGCATTGTCGGCATTGGCCACTGCACCCTCGCCATACTCAGACAAGGTGTTGACATGCCAGAACTTACGAATAAGAAAGGTCAAGCAAGCGGGCCAGGTGTCATTGCTGGAACGCCCAGCCCTGCCGCAAGTACTGAGAGTGCGGAGGCGCCAGTTTAGCATAATTAGCTTTTGCCCAGACCACAAGCTTTCGCAACTTCCGTGAGGCCAAGCAGTCGGCACGGTGAAGACAAGCGAGACCTTGACACGATGCCGGGCCACAGTCCGGGCACTGCGAGCCCAAACATGGGGCTCTCCATCAATGCCAGCCACGCCGCAGAAACCAAAGGCTGGCTTCGTAGTAGCATAAGTCCCTTCCGCCGAACTGCGTGTCAGACGAAAGAAGGGGTGAGTGCATCCAAGCCTGCACACACTTGCGCAGGGCCAGCCGGTCCTGATGATGAGAATGGCCTGCAGGGCCTTTTGAAATACGCGTCCGATGAGAGCTCTGAGGACTGAGGTTTTATGAATGCCTTGGAAGCATTTCCGGGTATGGACATGGTCAGGACGAGGTCGAAGCTGATGAGGAAGACAGTGAAAGTGAATGACGTATGCTCATTTGGCCATGTGATGCTTCGGGCATCAAAACAGAGGGAATCGTGCTCTTACATGATTGGAGCATTGCCGCGGTGTTCTGCAGTAACCTGAGCGGCGATGATGTGGTGGGACTGCAAATTGAGGCAAAAGATTCGACACATGGTCAACTTGAAGGAGGAGTGGCTGTGAGCGAAATTGAGCGAAGTTGTCTGATCCATCTCATGTGCAACGGCTTTGTCAGACGGTCATATTCCTATTGTATTAACTTTGAGCGTGTAATGGCTCCTGAGAGGAAAACAAAGAGTTGCGGGATCAGCTCAAGAAGGTCAGCTGATGCTGCGATGCCGTGGCTATCATTCTCTTGAGCCATTTGCCGTCCCCCCACCCATGCCTTTTTTGTTTTGTGCAGGCCAAGCAGCGCATAACCCAACTGGGGGCTCCAAGCTCACAAGGGTCTTGCTAAGCGTTGGTCCCTGTGCAAAAGCGTTTGAGGTATCACGTAAAGGAGAAGGCTTGCTTGAAGCGCTGGCCTCGTTCTCGCATTCGCACGGTGCAGGCACGGCTTTGTGGCTTTGTACTTTCAGTTGCCTCCGGCCGTATGACACTTTACGATAGGCGATCAGCTTTCTGTTCCTGCGAGCCCCTGGGCACCCGAAACACCAGCGAAAGGCTGGAAGCATGTGGAAGCAGTGATCTGCCACGTGTCCACGCGATGCTCAATTTCAATATGTTTTACATGCCTAGACGGACATCATGTCGCAGGCGCAGAGACGCGAACTCCCAAACGCCCTGGAACCCCAACGCGGAAGCCAGCGTTGACCCCTCAGCCTGAGATGGACAAGGAAGCATAGAAAACAGGGCCGTGCATGGGGTGATGCGGGCCCCTGACTTCCATGCAGCCTGCGTCAAACGCAAGCCAAGTTCCGCTCGCGGGGCTCGGTCGAATCCTCTTGAGGACTGGGGGATTGAAGCATGTTGAAGCGCACACTCGTGCCGCATTATGCCGTTGGGCTTGAAGGTTAAGTAAGGGACAGGGGTCGAGGGTTGGGGGAGACAGTTCAGGACGGCTTGCTGTGAAAAGATTCCGGGCATGATGCGCAGCTATCACTGTTTTTGCTGAACTGGGGGGAGGGACAGGGAGCCCTGATGCAGAAAGGGTGATGTACGTAGGGTGCCCGGGGAGAGGGGTAACCTTTTTCGTATTTCGTGTATTCATCTGGAAATCTCAGTTCAGAATGTGAAAGCAGATTGACGAGGAGGAGTACCAGGTGCGCATGGTCGAGGAAGAGCGCAGGCGCCAAATGCAGGAGCTAGATATTGCACTTGTGCTTTCTCAAGGGGCCGTGCTCATAATGTGGCTCACAATTCAGGATCGTGCGGTGGAGCGCGTGCAGACAGACTTCCAGCACTTCATTGCATTGATTGAGAGAGTTTCTTGACGGCACAGATCTGCACAGCCACCCGTGCGCCACTGCTTCAGATTGCCACCAATGCGCTGCCCCAAACAGATGTTGATCTGAGACCCTGTGGGATTAGGAGAGGGGGGAGAAGATCCAGTGCGAGTGTTGGGGCGCAGCAGACTTGCCTGACAGCCTGACAGTGCCTCCTTTTTGATTGATTGTCGCTATATTGCAGAAAGAAGGCCGACAAGGCTGCAGCTTTGACTCTTAAGATGGCCTTCGTGCTTTTTGCTGGCACTTTATCACTCGGCAACGAAGGATGTCGTCTGGACTTGGCCACAAGTGCGAACGCTGCAGCCGTTGAACTTTGGGTGGGTTTTAGAATTGTATCATGCCTCGACATGCATGTTGCTTCATGAATAGCTTCTCCTGTGGGCACTTGGCAAGTTTTTGCTTCGGCCCTGGCTACTTTCAATGTTCGCAGCGCCGTACCTTTCGTAGCATAACATTTCCTTTCAATCTTTCGCTTGAGCAGAGCATTCAGCATATGCGATTCCACATCCGTGACGTTGGACAACACCTTCTGGACCACGTGTTGCGGGGACTTTCTGCTCAGAGTCCCTACCTGGTAGATTCAGACTTCTCAATGAGTTTCGAGCTAGAGCCAGGGGTAAGATGTATTTTCGAGTGCGCGGTGCGGAGTCAAGCGCTATGAGTAGAAATTTGCGAGTGCGTGAAAAGACGTATGTTTGTTTATGAGAAACAAAATGTGGAGCAATCATGGCTGCGAATACAGAGATGGAGCAAGACTCGTGGAAGTAGATCTACTTGCCGAGTAACGTCGCCCCATGGCAAAAGTGCGTGAGATAATGTGCGTGTCATGAAAAACTGCCCCCGGCATCTGGGGATCTTCTGTTGGATTTCTCCTGGGGTTCTGGATGGACTACTGATGGACTTATGGCCATCCCAGTAAGAGTCGATTTGAAGACCATGGACCATCCCGAGTGTATGGGGAGGCGATGTGGGAGAATGTGCACTCTTCTTTTTTTCGACGGGCAGCATTGCTAGCTTAGCTGGCTCAAGACTTGGGTTTGCAGCGTAACACAGCCTACTTGTGTGTGGAGCTTGGTGACCTCAGTTGTTTTAATCATGTTGTTGTTGCCCTTGCTGTTGGAAACTTGTTGTTGGTCGTTTGTGGTCTGTGTTATTTGATGTCCGTCGTCCGTTCTGTGTTGTGTGTTGCTTATTTATTATGTTATTATTTTCCCATAGCCATGTTCACCTTTTCCCGTGTGTTTTTACACTTTTACGTTGTGCTTCTTTGTCGGGTGGAGAACCAATCGAAATCGCTAAGGTCGTCAACAAACGAAGCGATCATTTTTAGACTCCCGTGTTCAAGTTGTTCATCCACATGGCGGGAATCCCGAACAGACATCCGCACTCAAACGGAGGTTTCACAAAACCATGCAACTAACAACTAACCTTCACTCAGGCTGTGCTGTCCGAAGATCGCGTGGAAGACTCGCCCAATCCAGCTGCGCGGCACCTATATACTTGGGTGAGGTTCCAGACATGCAATGGTCAAGGAGGAGGAACGTTGGCCGCTGTCGTAAGGCATTGCTGGAACGGCTTCGGGCCATGGCTAGCAAGCAAGGACTCGACATCACCGATGTGGAGCCAGGCGCATGTTCGCCACAAACCCATCAGCAGTCATGCGGTTGGATAGTTCAAAGCGGGTTCAGGTTCAGTGATTTTTCCACAGGAGCGAACGAACACTGTCAAGATGAAGATGAGTCACAGTAACTGGACTTGGCCGCCGAGTTGGGCTCTCAGCGAATGATGGCTCTGATGACGTTATTCCGTTATGTCTGCTGAAGTTGGGGTGGACCGTTCAAGTCCGAAGGCGCAACGCGCGGCTGCAGGACGGCGACAGCTTTGCTTTATATCGGTTGTTCAGAATCCGCACGGCGGGGTGCTCACAGGTCGGAAAGTGTGGGGACACTGCCCGAGATTGAAGAAGTGACAAACAGCAGCGCATGGCGTTCACTGCCAGTCGATCCTTGAGGTGTAAGGCAATTCGTAATTTAATGTCTCCATGCACCGGAGATTGCATGAGTCTTGCGGATCGCTTGAATCCGCAAAGCCGCAAAAAAGCAGCTAGCCACAGTACCTGCGACTGCCGGCAGAAGCTGACTGCATCCATCTTTCTTGCTCCAGTCAACATAGATTGCCCTCTCCTATTTTGCATAGAGTGACTGATTCTGCGTGCGCCAGAATTTGTGAGATGGGCTCGCGGGTGGGTGATATATGGTGATATGATTGAAATGCTTCAATGGAACGTGTCACATGAGTAGCACCAGTTTTCGTCAATAGAATCCAGCACTCGGCGATTGACAAGCATTGGGATTGTAGGTGCAAGGATGAAACAGGACAAGAAAACGAGTTAAAACGAGTACAGTGAGCCATGGCTCAAAGTGCTGTAAGATGGCCGCGGTTTTGCGTACTTCTGGCTTTGGGAAGTACCTGCTTTGTACAGCTGGCTTCGAACTTCGTGTTCGGAAGATCGCACCAACAGCAGCGCTCGAGGTGGAGAGCAGCACCCGTTCTTGCCGTGGCTAGCACTCCTGATGTTGACCTGGACACGGAGCTTGGAATTTTGGCTCCTCTACCTCACGCGGGACTATCAAGATACAAAGGAGCTTCCTTTGATGCGGAGGCCGCGCGCAATAGTTGACTTCTTGAGTAGCTTGATTGTGACGGCTTTTTGTGCTCTGAGGCCTGCGGCGAGGCATGTGAAGCGCTGGCAGCAGCGATTGGCGAAGGCAATGAGCAGCAGGTCGATGGCCTCATCACAGCACTGAAGCTGATGATGCCGCCTTGCAGCGGGGCCGAGCAAGCCATGGGGCCCCCTCGGGATGACTTCATTCTCAGGTGCTTGCCTTCTTCCCTGCGATCCTGCCTACCTGCCTACCCTCCCAGCATCATCTCCAATTCAGAGAACAGAGAATCGAATTCTAACTTTGTGGAGAATTGGGGAGTGGGGGTTATAGCAGTATGGTGTATTGGAGGATGTTGGGGTGTTGTCCCGCGTGTGCCTCTTTGTGTTCATTGCCAAAATGTAGAGCAGGCCAGTACCTCTGACCTAAGAGAACCAAGACGGTGAGTGCCTAGTCTGGCAGAAAGAAAGTAGGACTGAGATTCTGTAGTGGTAGGATGAAGTAGCGCTGCCCGCTGCCCAGACACGAGTCGGTGGTTCAAGAGGTCTGGGTGGTTGGTGTTCCTTTGCTACTGATTCTGAGTTCCTGGCATCCTCCTTGTTCTTGACAGGTGTGCGAGTTTGATGCCTGCCTCTCGTGCTTGTCTTTGTGCCATTTGGTGACTTGTGCTTGGTTCTTGAAGCTGCAGCATCTGAGTGCTCCTATGTTATGCTGCCGTTCTGTACGTGGTGCAGTCTTCATCGGTCTTCTTTTGTCTCGGGATTGGCGCATGATGTCAAAGATGGGCCGGATGGTTTTCGGCCTTGTGCCGTGCTTCTGTGGGTCGTAGGCTCCAAGCCTTCCCAAGCAGAGCCTCGAAGAAGGGATGCGATACGGGCCCATAACAGAAGGCCCAACTGCACTTGTTATAGGCAGGAGGGACTATGGTATGTACACCGGCATCTGTGTCCTGCACCCTTGCCCGCACTGCCAGTAGAATATGAATCCGTGCAGTTTTCGGCCATTGGTAAGTCCCTCCACGCAGCACGTGCGGGCGCATGGCCGTTGAAAAGCTTGCTGTTGCAGTGGTTTGCTGTCGGTTCATGCCTATGTATGCATCAGGCCGGAGGTGCTGCAGTGGTCCGAGCAGGACTTCCTCGGCGGGCTTGAAGAGAACATGCGCATTGTCCAGGAATGTGAGGCCAAGTTTGCGCGAATGATGGCCTCACATCCCGAGGTGGGCTTGCTGCACCGGAAGGGGTTCTTTGCTGAGCCGGACAACTGTTCGCTGCAGACAGCCGCTGCTCTCAATGCGTTGCCCACCCTTGCATTGCCATACTTTGGCCAGCACTGGCGTTCTTGCTCTTGCTGATTGATATGAATTATCATTGTGGCCTAAAGAAGCAGCCAGGCGAGGTACCAAATGCCCCAGTGGCAGTTCGGCAACTGTGTTTCTAGATTGCGGTTCAAGATAGGCAAAAATGCAAGCAGCAACGGCCCACAAGAAGCGGTCCCCAAATTAGCCACCTGCCCAGAGCACAATCAATTGAAGATCCCCAAAATATCCCGAACATCTGAGCCAGCCCTCGCACCGCTTCACTTGATCCCCTTCCACAGTTGCCCGACTCGACCCAACTGCTCCAGTGAGATGCATGATTGCATGATGTCAGCTTCTGAGTATGCTATACTGGTGAGGGCTTCCGTGCACCTGAAGTTCTGGCGGCAGCTTTGGACCTCGCAGTTGTGTACTTGAAGAACTACGCCTTGGACAAGGCTCCGCAGGGTGTTCGCCGGACAAAAGGGAACCTGCCAGTTGGAGCAGGCCGATGCCCTCTATGAGGCCACCAAGCCGCACTGCCTGTCTCGTGGTTTGCCATGGAATGTCAAGTGGTTCCAAGATTGTGCAACATTGAGGCACTGCCCTCAGGCCATGGCCATGACATGAGCATTGCTGTGACCCACGGTCGTTTCTGGGCATTCCTCTCTCTGGTAGCATGTCGCAGTTACACCGTGCCTGTTGATGATTCAGCACAGCACCAATCCATGGACGTTTGTCATGAAGGCATCGGCAGCATCATATGTCCATGTAGTCGACAGCCATCGTCGTGCCTAGGTGTAAACAAAATCGCCAAGCCGAAGCAGCCCCAATGCTGGAAGAAGTTGCCAAACTGACGCCTCCACATGAGGCACGCCGGAATTTTCTGCTGCAGCCCGGCATTTGCTTGCTTGATTGTGGGTGTGAGTGTGTTTGTCGTTCGTGGGGTGAGCATTCTCCGTGCAGGCGACGCTGCGTAACCTGGGAACCGTATACAATCAGCTTCGAGAGCATGATAAAGCCAAAGTTTATTTTGATGCTGCAGCGGAGTTGGTCGGCAAGAGGACCGAACAGGCGCAACACCGAACTACTTATTAACGCCAGCCGCATGTCTGACCGTCAGCCTGACAGGGCAAGCTCCTGCTTGACAAGGAGGATCTGTGGAACATAGGCTTGGTCCATAAGAACAAGAAAAACTATGAAGAGGCTGCACCGATGTTGGAGCAGGCGTTGGAGAAATGGTTAAAAGAGGATCCAGAAGATGATGTCACTCTGGCAAAGCTCTACGACTCAGTGGGCAGCTGCTATGACGAGATGGGCAGATATGAAGATGCCGTCGATGTTTTGCAGAAAGCCAAAACTCTGTATGACCGAAGTATTGGCACAGAAAGCCCTTTGTACGGCAGCGCACGGCCCTAAGAAAGAACAGTCGCAAGTTCAGGCGCTGGTCGGCAGCTGGTCGGCAGCTCCAGTCAAGATGGGAGATGCTGGGGGCTGAGGCTTGCGAGCGCCTGGCCAGAGCGCTTGTGCACGCGGAAGGCTCAGTCTTCTTGGGATCGTATCTGGAAAGTCTTCGACGCCTGGTCGCGACATGGTTGGGTGAATGACTCAGGCCCGTCAATATCAGGAAGGGCTCGACAACTTGATTGAAGCCTTCACAGTTATTGCACTGCAGGACGCCAGGTTTCATGGAGATAATGGAGCTTCTATTACGACTGCGGTTTTCGAGTGCTTGCAGGATGCAGTGCATCCTACGCCCTTGTTCGAGCTGCTGGGGATTGCCTTGGAGGAGATGGGAAATGTGTGCTGTAGTGCACAGGCTCGCGTGCAGGCAGCGCATTAGCGAATGTTAACATTGTTCATGCGGAATCCACTGAAGCAGATGCTGCTGCAATGTTAGGCTACGAGTGTTTGTCTTGTGCAAATGCACATGCACGGCAGCGTCGCCGCAGGAAATTCCCATCACCAAAGAGATTGACACGGCAGAGCTAGCACGGCTGGAGATGCCAATCCAAGCAGCTGTGAGAAACATGCCCTGGCCTTGGACTGTGAGATACTAGCTTATGCTTCTTCAAGTGTGTTGGGGATAGATGAAATTGTTACATGCAGTAAGGAGTGTGTTTTCATACAGTCAGGCCAGCATAACACATCGGGGCGAAAATGGCAACGATGTGTCGAACATTCTTTCTAGCAGCAAGACCCCCTTGGAGTGGGCTACTGCCTTGTCACAGACGCAGCCTCATGTCAATGCATTCGTGCGGCTATGTACACAACAGCCATATCAAAAGTCAGCTCGAAGGCATTACCGCGGTCTGGACCAAGACGGCAATTGTGGCGTAATTCTGCTGCATTGGAAGGATAGAAGGTCATGGCCTATCATGCCATGCTCTGCGACAAAGCCGCCAGGTCTTGTTCGAACGGATGGCACGCGCTTTGGTGCTTTGCAGTCAAGCCGGAGGCAATGCGGCTGCACAGGCGGGATCTAGCATGCAATGCTTGAAGGATCTACTTTGTTCCGCTCACATCGCGCAGTGCAAAGTTGCACAGTCCAGGCACCCGTCGCATTACGAAACCATGTGCTTTCAGATCTGGCAGGCGGCTGCTTCGCAAAGACGAGGAACGGCGCGCGCGCTGCTGCGGCATGCCGCCCCATTAGTGGAGGCGGGTGTCCAGAAGTCTTTGCTGGCAGGGTTTTGGCCTTCCTGCTTTGCAGAGGCAGCCACCCGTGATGGTTTGGCGGATCTTACACATGTCTCTATGCTCATAGAGACGGAGCTGCAAGCGCTGGACAACCAAGATGCTGCAGCACGCCTAGCGATTGGGCCTGAGTCATCGCCACTTGCTGATGCGCAGCCGCGGATGCCCAGTGCATCCGGCGACGAAGGCGACATCCCCAAACAGCCCAAACAGAGTCAAGCTGGAGAGATGGACCAGGCATACCAGGCCACCATCCCGGAAGGCACCCAGGTGACATCACAAGCAACCACAACCACCAGCGGAGCAACCGCAACATGGCGGCCAAGGTAAGGCATGGCCAGGTACGGCCTCACCCGAAGCAGATGTGCAGGACAGTTTGTGCGGCTGACCTGAAAGGTCCAGTTTGCCAGGTGAATGCTCAGGACGAGTAGCTCGGCTTGTGCCGGACGCATCGCAGCTTCCGCAGCTTCCGCAGCTTCCGCAGCTGCGAGATTGCAGCGGCAGAAGAGAAAGGACCGTCTGGCGTTGTTCATCGACTGTGGCACTTGGATGCATGAAGTTGGAACATGCGTGCAGCTTCTGTGCCGTACGAAAGCCTTTGTTCAAGCCATGTAGTCTTGCCCAAATGGAAGATGACCTGGGGAGCATGCCGCATGAAGCCAACTCATTCAAGCTGCTTGCCAGCACTTTGTTTGGCGACCCTGTTCTCGCGTGAAGAGAACGCATTCTTAAATGGTCCCCCATGCAGGTAGAGGCCATGGCATCGCGTCCAACCCCCGCGAGACCTGTCATCTCTCGTGTCAAGCTGCCCCAGCCAGGGCGTGGCCAGGCCAGAGAGACATGAGAGATGAGCGATATGCGACGATACGCGATATGTTGTCTTCGCACGTCTCGAGCTCGGGTCTCTGAAATGAGCCGCGTCCAAAGTCACAGGTACGCATCGCCGACATCACTGCCGGTTCCGGCTGTGCAGATCCGAGCAGCCGCTCAGGCAGTGCGCGGTCCTTAGCCGCAAGGTCTGTTCCAACACCGGTCCTCGAATCTTCCCCCAGCGCCTGGGCAGCAAGGAAGTTTTGATGTTGATGCGTCCACGGCAGCATGGCCTTACGGCGCCCTTGAAACAGCAGCACCATCGTTGCTTTGGGCAGGCGTGGCCCGGCATGTTCGAACTCCAGAGCCAAGAAATCCTGCGGCCACGTTGGAGAGTTTGCACTCGATGCCAAGATCGAGCTCAGAGAACGTGCTGGTGGGCTTGTCCAACACCTTGCGGTTCCTGCTATGCACCTGAAAAAGTCATGGATAAATAAATTCCACGCATGTCCGCAACGTTTCCACACCCTATTTCAAGTTGCCTGAAGCATGTTGAGACTTAAATCTGGCACAAGTGCTGTGTCGCTGCTGCGCATTGCAGGCACGGTCCTTACCCCGAACTGCTACATCAACCCTGTCGGAGCACGACCACGATGACCACGCTCCAAGACGCTTGTCACAGAACATGCCCAGGAATAGTGACGGTACCATGCTGTGCCACATTGTAGTTGCAGGTGATTAAGCAGCCAAGGTTGTGTTACCAGAGACAGTCCAGCGAGCCGGGGTGGCGTTGACATGCATCTCGTCTCGGCAGTGCCGTCAAGCCCGAAGATGGTTCTGATTAGGATGCACAAGTGCAGGTGCATGCAGGCGGAGTACTTCCTTTGGAAAGCCACTGATCACTTAAGTCACCCACCCAGGTTGCTCGCGGCAAGTGTTTGGAGTCTGCCGGACGAGAAGCCTGATGTCGCAGGGCATCCGGCCACAAACAATGGCAAATCCAACACACCAGACGCAGGGCAGTCTGCTCTTTTTGGGAGGCGTCAGGACGACGCCAGAGAGAATACTCTTGCGAGGAGCAAGAGAGGTTTGGATGAGGTTACTGGAGCACATGGAGCACCTGGCTGGAATACACCTCTGGTGGAAGGATCCTTGCTAGGCGAGGCTGTGGCAGAAGGTGCCAGACAAAGACACAGACGACAGCAGCGTCGGCCAAGTTTCTGGGTGAGATTGTTCATGATCGTATAGAATACAGAATACGAATGAACAACGGGACTGGGACAATTTTTGCAAGAGACAGCTTCGACTTAGACATCGGCATACCTATACTATACCACACCCCTTCCGGAAAGGGCCAGATATTTGTTTTGGATAGGGTCCGTCAGTGGCTAAAGGTCGTCCTAAACCCAACCCCACAAAATCAAATGTGAGCCTTCCCGTGCATAGCCTTCCAGCTTACTCTGAAACTTCCAGTATGGAAGTCTCTGCCATCTACCAGCTACCTTCAGCATGATTACCAGCATCAGGCAACGTCTTTTGCCCGCCAACATCTTATTTTCAGGGTCTAAGTCTCGTTTTCCTGGGTCAGTGTGAGGCTTCCTAATTTCCATGGACGACAAGACAAAAGAAGACTGACGCGGATCTTTCAGAAAAGGCCATGGCCCGCGGGTCCCAACAGCAAGGCCCCTGAGGCATTCGATAGCAACTTCGCCATCGGAACAAAAGAATAAAACTCGTGGAGACACTCATGAGCTCAGACAACTGGGCTGGAATGGGAGAGAGAACGAAAGCAGGACCTTGCTGAGCTACACAGGCGACATCAGGTGACTAGACGATTTTTCAGGGTGGAGACAGTGTCAGAAAGTTCCTGGATGCCCAGCCATTGAGGGTTCCCGAAAAAGGGGAGGCCGGGGTGATGACCATGTTTCGAGAACGCAATATAAGCTGCCGCTTAATATGTGCTTGCCGCACCCATCTTCCTATTCTTGCTCGCGGACCCCTTTTCAGTCTCTGTGGCATTGCGGGCCTGAGAAAGCACAAAGGCCCACACCCGGTTTGTTTCCAAACATAGAAACCTGTGGTTGCCCAAGCACTGCGCCAGAGCAGTCGGTGTGAGAAGAGCGTTCTGCGCTGCACCGAGCGGCTGCGCAAGAGTAGATACTGGTACCTGAACTGGCGGGGATCATTAAAGAACTGATCTGGCATGCAACTTTTTCCAAAAGCATGCGCTTGAATGCCGTTAATGTGGCCGGAGTCTTGCCAAAAGAGCCTGACCACCATCCCAGGCTTGCGAGCACGCTCCAAAGAAATCCGCACACAGTCTGAGCCACCGCAACACACCCTGACCGACTCCACAAGCCACAGCGGACAAAGGCTACCGCAGCTCATTGATGAGATCGAGGGTCACTTGCTCCAGCAAACAGTGCGGCCTCCAGAAGATGCAGCTGGCTGGATGCAGGAAACCGCACAGCTGGAGATGTACATGCAGGAGCTCTTCCTATCCCATCTCATGTGTAATGATTATCGTCTTGCTTTCCCGCCAACTTTCCGTGCTCTGGCAGGAAATGCAGCACTTGTTGACGCAACACCTGGATGATGCTTGGATGATTGAGAAAATTATGTTTGTTTCCTGGCCTTGGCAGCTGTGCCTTGACATGCCTATTGTTGGCTTGGTTGTGCGGAGGACATGATTTTGCATATGCTTGACATGCGAGGTCCCGGGGCAGTCAGGAAACAGTCGTGTTGCAGGCCGAAATCGGGTACGTGGTGTGGTGCACGGCAAATCGCCCGTCCGCGAGCTCTCAGTGTTGCGTTCTGCCCTCAAATGCCTGCAATGCGACAGAAAGTGACTAATGAAACCATCGATAAGTAACGCCTAGTGATGTGATACATTCATGTGATGGCCGAGGAGGTGACAAAGACCTGAGGTGGGCCAGACAGCAGCTCAGGAATTGCGTTTTGTCTGCACCGAATGTCGCAACATGTCTTGCGCTTTGTCGATTGGGATTGTTGGCATGTGCCGCCCTAGCAGGAAGAAGTCGCTTGCCCCAGGGAAATTTCAAGCTCCGTAAGGAGCAGGGAAGATTAAACCTTTAAACATTCACCGGGTTCCAGGACATTTAAACCTGTCTAAACATCTGTGGCAGAGGTTCTCGGCATTCGTCCAAGCATGCGTGGTCGCAAGCCAGCTTTAGACCGAACAAAGTCAGACCATCGGCGACATGTCTGAAGCTAGGTTACCTAGAGAAATGGTTTAAGCCGGTTTAGACTTCTGGCGATGTGTCTCAAGCCAGCGATTTTAAAACTCTGTCTCAAGCCATGGGCTCTGCAAATGCTCCCGAAGTTATGATGAAACGGCTTAAAAACTCAACTATATTCCGTTTCCACGCATCCAGAGTCAATTTTCAACCGTTTAACCGGCACAAACCGTTTCAACCAACAGTAAGGCATCGCGCTACTAGTTTGTCCTTGCTGGAGCTTTGAAGGAGAAGAAGCGTGGCTCGAGAAGTCAAAACGGTTCAACTCATTAAAACGCTTCAAACCTGGCTTGAGGCATGTCTCAGAGCCTGGAGTGGACCGTTTAAGCGGGTTAAAACGGTTAAACCTGGCTTGAGATAAGCGGCTCGAAGCCTGGCTTGAGATACTCTCCCGAAGGTCTAAACGGTCTGTGTTTACCGTTTTCCTGACTTATCCCTGTAAATAGTCGAACGTTTGAGCTTTCAATCCGTCTAATGCGACACAAAGATTTGTGAGCATATTAAGCCTGGATTTTGGAAACGCTTCCGGGGGTGACCGATGAAGGTTGTAAGCTTTCAATCCTTCAAGCCACGCTACTCTTTTGAATTTGCATGCAGGATGTCACGTCAAGCCTCAGCATGCGTTGGGGTAGATAAGTTCCCAGGGTGAGTATGAGTTCTGTGAGGGTTGGGAGCTTAGATGGAGTAATGGTTTCAGCCAAGTTTAAACACATGTCTAAGCACACGTGTGCTTAAGTGATTGATTGTTGAAACCATTCCATGCCTGCAACACATTGACATAAACTGCATGAACTGCTGAAGCATTCTTAGATGCAGGCCCTGGTTGTTTCACATTGCGCGTGTAAGCACCGAAAGTTTAAAAACGAAACGCTTCAACGCAATTTCCCGCCCAACCCTGATAAGGAGAACACCAGGACGGCGACTCTCACTTGGTGTCCCCAAAACTCGAGCCGAAAGTTCACTATGGATCGTACTGTGCCATGTCGGGCTGTCTGGTAGCTTGCGAACATCAATGGCTCGTCTCCTGAAAATGCAAAGCGCAGTGCAACAAACATCGGCAGGTTTGACCGGGTGTTCCATCTTGCAAGTGGCAGACATGGTCTGTAACCTGGTGTGAATATGTGTAAGCCCATGTTAGCCATGTTCGCCCAGGTGAGCGGGAGCATGCCCATCTCCAGCACCTACTGGGAGACGAAGATGCCGAGAGAGTTCTGTTCGCGGAGCTTCGGCAGGCACAAAGGTCTCCAGAGCCCAACTGTAAGCCATTTTGAGCCTGTCAGCTGGCAGTAGGCCAACGGATACCAGCCAAAAAACCTTTGGCAGACCAGCAAACCCGATCGCCTTAGCTCGCCGAACCTCAGCATCCAGCACTATCAGCCCGCATAACCACAGAAGCTCACGAACCGCTCCTGTCCGCTGGACTTGACTTGGCAGTGTGTGGAAGCTAGAAGGCAATCAGCGAGGAACCGAGAACGATGGCCAGCACAGCGGTCCAAGACTTGTTCAGCACTGCATAACTAGGAGCTTTCAGGCTCTGCGAATGCCGTAGCATTCATGTCTACTAGCAGGGCGGTCATGTGATGCGGTGAAGCACTTTCGTGTTGTACGGGTAGCACTTTGGCCAGGTAGAGGTTGCCCTCGAGGAAGAAAAGCGGAGGTTAAAGAATCTCCAGAAAGAAAGTCACAAGCGCGAGCGAAGCATGGCACGGGCGGCTGAGCGTGCTGGCGGAGGAGAACTTGGTAGTTTGAACGTGGATGGAAATGCACGAGCTCTGAAGGAGGCCTTCCAGAGAAGCTCTGTGAAGCCTTGTGAACCAGTGAAACGCAGAGCGCAGCGAACGTTGTCAGATTTCAGTGTTCAAGCGTCGATTAACTGATTGACTTCCTTGTGTGTCATTGTGCTTACCGCATGTTGCCAGGTGAAGAGGCTGGAGGCCGAATTGGAAGTGTGGCAGATGAAAAACGCATCTCTAACCAAGCAAATCGACGAGTCTACAGCTAGGCTCGAGCAAGCAGTTCAAAACCATGAAAGAGCAGTGTCCAGATGTCAGCAGCTGCACACAAAAGTGGAGAGCGAGGATGCCAAGAAGCAAGAAGAGCAGCAGCAGCACATGCAGCACGAATCCCAGATAGAAGAGAGGCAGCTCCGCAGCGACATTCAAAGCCTCCTGGACGCGCGGCGCAGAGAAGCCAGAAGCGCAGAGTCGACGATGCGAGAGCGAGCGCGGCGCTTGGAGGATCTGCGGAAACAACAAGCAGACCTTTGGCAGCACACAATTGCGGGAGCGTTCAGTAGCGGCAATTTCAAGACTATTTCAAGCAATCTTGCAATTCTTGCAGCAGCGCCTCCGACCCATCCACCTGCTTCACGGCGCATGCATGTGTGAATCTCAAATTGGACCCAGGAGAAAGAGGCGTTCCTTGCGCAGCTCAGAATGACTGAGCAGCAGCTGCGGCGTCAATTTCGGCATGAGAACCGACGGCCCTGCAGCACCAGGGGCGAGCAACGAGGGTCGGTCAGGGCGGTGCCGCCTTCTCCGAAGCCGATGAAGCCTGGACCGACTGACCCGAAAAAACATCCGAAACATCCGACTTCTGATTCTCAGGCGTCCCATGAAGCTGCTGAAGCTGCCGAAGCTGCTGAAGCTGCCCATGAACTTCCTGAATGCCCTGAAGCCTCGAACGCGACCGAAGCACCGCCAAGGCCCGCAGCTTCATCGCCTTTGAAGTTTTCTATCAAAGATCTGGTTTGATTTCTTGATGATTGAAGCATGTTGGGCATTTTCTAGTTATTTGTTGCTGTTCCTTGCTTGCAGCGTTGCAAGCGCCTTGCAATCCGCTTTGGCCAGCCAGCAGACCGCGGCCACCGAATCGGGCCAGGGACACTCGCACGAACAGGGGTCCAAGGGACCAGACCTGCTTGGCCCTCTAGTTGACTCTTTGTGCCAAGGCCAACTGGGCATCAACTGCTGTAACAACCACCACTAGCAGTCACTAGCACTAGCAGAAGCATCCGCAGCTACAACCGCAACTAATTGGGGTCTCGGGCATCTCGGGCTTTGGCCTAGGGCATTCTTGCGCTGCAGTGGGTCTGGGTTTGAGGGTTTGCTGAGGGGTCTGGAGTTTGAGGAGCCATTCCTTGAGGCCTTAGGGCGTGTAAGGTTTCAGGGTTCAGCCTTTTGAACACATGGGGGTAGCTTGTCAGGCTTGTTGGGGTTTGGGTCTGGGTCTCAGGTTCGGGTTTTCAGCCTGAAGCTGCCTGGGGACTTGTGCTGCTACGACCTTTTGGGTGTAAATGTCTAGAGGTATTCGGGTTTCACTGCCTTCAAACCCTCAGCCCTAACCTGAAGACCAAAACCCTGCGAAGCCTTCGTGCTGCAATTGCTTGGTTCAGGATTGGCCTGACCGTTTAGCCTCCACTAGTAGGGTGTAGGGGTCGGCGATGAAGCACAGTAGGGTGTAGGGTTCAGCGATGAAGGTGAGTAGGGTTTAGGGCTCAGGGGGGTGTGGCTTGCGGACACCCTGGGTCATTAATGGGTGCCCAGGCAGGGGAGCAAGAAAACGGAGCCAACTTAGCAACGGCCAATCCTGTGACATATCGCCGAACCTGAAATTTCTCCAGAGCATATAAGGCAATAGCTTCTGTTTTCTTGAGGGAGTGTAGCGAGCACCGCACTTATCAGCTATCACTGGCTATCAACCATACGCATCAAGAGTTTCTGTACATGCGAGGTCCATTGCCGATCGGGATATGCCCGGATGCGAGCGAAAACGAACGCAAGTGCACCTCTATTCCACCGACGAGCCTGCACCAAAACTCCTTACACCGGATTCTTTTCCATTCCCCCCCTTCGGAGGTGGTTCCCTCCTGGCTCTGGAATTGCCGCTTATCAGGGAGTGACCAACGAAACTCGCATGTTGCAGGCCTGACAAGAGCCCACGAAATCAGTTACCTGTTCGAACCCAGCTCTGCCGGGCCCTGCCTGCCCATGATGCCAGAAGCTAGAAAGTTTCAGAATGTTGGCCTGAAGGCCTGCAGCCTTCTCGAGGAGCTGGCAGACAAGGCCTTTTGCCAGCTTTGAACTTCAGTCCGGACTGATGTAGCCTGAGATGCCTAAGGTCTGAAGGCAAACGTGCATGCCCTGTCTGGGCCTTACCGGCTTTAGCGGCCTTAGCGCTGGCTTGTAAATGTTGACAAGACATGGCAGCATTGCACGAACGAAGAAGCACCTGCCTCTGCATCTTCCAGCTGTTTCTCTGCAAATTGCATGTCGCTGTTTTCCCCTTGCTACTTGTAATTGAATCGAGATCACTAGGCGAAGGGTTTCGAGCCCGAAGATAGTACAGGACCTGCATAGCTGAGCTTGCACATCTGTTTTTCGCCCATTGGCAACAGGGCAGCCCCCGCTCAACAAAATTGTTGCTTGGCTTTGGCCGTAAATGCGTGTCGTGGTGTCGTCATTGCTCGTCATTCAACAGGCACAGTGTGAATTGACCAAGGCCAACGTGAAAAGAGCAAATCTGCTGCATGTGTTTGTTCACAGAACTTCCCCCCCATCTCCGTAGTCCGTAGCTTTCAGAGTTTGCAGAGTTTTCAGGCACGCGCATCTTCTTCGCCATCCTGACACTGCAGCTCTCGGTGCCCAGGAGTGGCGTGTGTCTTTTTCCTTGAGGCTTTGATTGCAGCCAGTGACTGACGCATGAAGTTACAGCATCGCGCAGTATCGCACAGTCAAGCACAAAGCCTGTCGGTCTGGGTCAGTTCCTCTCGCTGTAGCAGCTCGCAGAGTCGCAGAGCACTGCTAAAGACAGCTGTGCCACTGCGGTGGATTATGGAGTCCGGTCCCAAATACAAGAATTTGTTCTGAAATGTTCTGAACCGCCAAAGACATGCGGCTGCATGCGGCTTGGAGTCCAAAATAGGTGGATTCGAGGGAGAGAGGCCGCAAATGCCCGCAACCATCCGCAACCTGAGTGCATGGTTTGTGACAGTGTTGCAGCGTTTTCCAGCGCACTGCAGACCGCGGCTCCAGCTGGGGGCAATATGGAGACTGGAAGATCATCTCCCAGCCTTTTGGACTTTTGGACGGGTCACCCCGGCACGCTCCGCCGCGTGGCACCCTTTCTGAGCAAAACGATGTGAAAGAAACGAGACGCTGTGCCCAAGCTGTACGAAACACAGGCCTCAAGCACGTCATCTAACTTCTTGAAAAGTCCTTTTTCAAAAAGCGACATCTGCCGTGATTCTATGGATGCGGATGGTAGGACAAACTTGCGCTTCTTGTTAGTCACGGCGCACGATGTGGATTACAAGATCGGATTCTTGTGCTCTGTAGTGAACGAAGCATATTGTAAGAAGCATGGATATGGTTTTCTGCGTGTGGTGCAGAGCAGAGATGACATGTGCAAACTATCTTCGGGGCGGCACTTGGCCTGGGCAAAGGTGGCTCTTCTCAGATACCTCTTGAGCACGACTTTGAGCCCAACTTCACCAACTTCACCAAGTGCACCAGCATGGGTGTCAAAAGGCATGTCTCCGGTTTCGGACTTCGACTACGTGGTTTGGATTGATGCGGATGCTATGGTCCTGAACCACGCATTGAAATTGGAGCATTTTGTCACGACGGCACAGGAAGCCGATTTCATCATCGGAGAGGACATGGCAGATACAGACTTTCTCAACACTGGTCTCATGTTTTTCCGTGCTCGTTCAGCGTGGTGCCAAGATCTGTTGCAGAAGTGGTGGGATGACAGCGATGCAAGATGGCACCACGAAGTGTGTTGGGACCAAACCGGACTCTGTGGTTTACTGCAAACACGAGGCATTTTAGGCAAGAAGAAAGACTGGTTCAGCTGGCATGGCGGGCTGCAGCATAAACACCTGCAGAGAACGTTTGTTTTTGACTGCGGCAGCTTCAACTTTAAGTACATAAACAACTGCAATTTCGTGTTTCATGCCGTCGGCGAGCGTGAGCTGCTTTTCTCGTTTTCATGCCAGCTGATGCTGAAGAAGGACCGATTAGAAAAAGCAGTGCGTCATGGCTTCGTGGCGAATGGCCAGGACGTCGCAGAGTTGGAAGAGTTGGAAGGTTCCGGGTTCTTACACCTGCACCCGGAACACGTTGATGCAGCCAAGTTGCAGCTGCAGCAGGCCTTGCAGTTTTGGCGGGCTTTTGGAACATCATGCTCTGGTACAAATGGCCAGCCTCCACCCTGCAGTTGGGGCTTGAATGTGCCATTGTCGTGTGATGGCGACGGCGATAACTTGACGAGATCGTCAGTGAGCGAAGCCGTGCTGCAGATGCGCGAAACTTTTTCCACACACTGCAGGCCTGTGTTGATCAGCGCTGGCTTCGACTCGCATCAAAGTCGCAGCTCACAGCTGAGCCCAGCAATTCTGCTGAGATTTTTCGCCGACATGCCTGTTCGCTTGGTGCGTTTACAGCCCGAGCAAAGTACTGACCGAACTACATGTGGAGCACGCTTCTGGCAGCTTTGGGCCTATGCTGCAGGATGTCCCCCGCCCTTCTCTCCACTCAGCTCCACGAGCTACAATCCATGGTGCCTGAGAGATTGGCGACCTTGGCAGGCCCTGCAAAGCCCTTGCCCACTTCTGGAAGTTGCAGCTTTCCTGCCACCCTGGATGCATCAGGCCCGGCAAGCATGTGCGCTAGGATTTGCTGGCATGTTGCCACGGTTGCATACATGTTGCATGCTGTCTTGTGATGTCTTGTGTTGCGCTGCCTCTTCTTTGCTCAATGAGGGTAGTGCTGGTAAGACCCCCTGGCACATCGGTCCGGAGAGCATGTGGCCACCATAGGCCGCCGTGGAATGTGGAGCACGTCGACAGAGATCAATGCCCAAAGTTGGTGAATTGACATGTTTGCTGACTTTTGTCGGAGTCATGCTGACAACAGTCGATGGCGTTGAGCATGTGACGGCTGACTCAATTTGCTCTGCACCGACCAACTACCCGAAGCTGGTCACTGCAGCGACAAGTTCCTGCTCAAGCACAGTGCCGAAATTTCTGCACAATGCTTCGCAAGCTCTTTTCGCGGCCTGGTTGAGCTGCAGGACCCTGCATGCCTCGCCATGTCTTTGCTCATGTGCTTTCGTTCACAGTGCTAGAGTATGCTTAGTGGTGGCGGCTCTGGCGAGGAGTCAATTGAAAAATGTCGCATGTCTTAGACTTGGGTGCCTGGCCTTGCCAGACTTGTCCAAAAGCCTTGCAGACAGGATTCCTCGTTGCTGCGCTGTTCTAGAATCAACCTCGCAGCATTCACAACTCGCCCACAGGTCGCAGAATGTCTGGTCCCGTGGCTTTTTCTGGTTGCCGCTACTGGATCCGGCTGGCGTGGTAGTTGCTGCTGCGCAGTTTCCTACTCCAGTTTCTGGGGCTGACGCCGCTTCTTGCGTGCGGTTCCTCTTGTTTTGTTTTTTGTCTCGCTTTTTTTGTCTCGAGGCTTCTTTTTGTGGCCTTTCTGGATGTTTAGCTTCCTGCCGCTTCAGAAGCCTGCTGCTGTGTTGTTTTTTCTCTCACGGTCCTTGTCTTGGCCGCAGCTTCTGCATCTTTTCTGGCTGCCACAGCTGCTTCCTTCAAGCTCATTCATTCATTCACTCATTCATGCATTCATACACGGCACGGTTCTCCATGTCTGCCAAGCACCAAGGCTTCCGTACATTGAAGAAAGTCAGTGATGGGCGCGAATGTTTAGAAAGAAAGTCCACAACCTTGTAAAGTGAGGAACGCCTGAACAGCGACACCCCGCCATGCCGCGCCCATCAGCACGAACAAGAAGGTGTTGGCAGTTGTTCGTGTGGCTTTCGCCGCTTGCGGTGGCTGTCCCGCTGTCCCTTTGGCCCTGCAGCTGCGACCTTTCCGGATGCTGAAGCTTCCATCTGTTTCCTGCTCGCCTTCCCTTTCATGGGCAGCGCACTGCTGTGCAGCTTTCGTTTGCGCAGCCTCCACCTTTCTGGCTGCCGCTGCCGCATCCTGTCTTTTCAAAAAGCTGAAAGGTTCGGGAAGACGAAAAGGTCAAGAGCTTCATGGCTGACATTTTGGGTTTTGCTCGGGGAAAAGCTGCAGTTCACCTTTCGACGGCGCAAGCGCGCGACCATGACTGGATAGACGCTCCCGCAGCGAGCGCATGCTGCCAGAGCCGGCATGCTGTTTTTAGCCTCGCAGCAAGGAAAAAGGATCATATGTGAAGCCTCGCATTGCTTCCTAACTTCCAGATTGCCCCCTAGAGAGTGTGCGAGCTTGTCTAGTAGTCTAGATTCCGCAGGCATTTCCAGAATTGGCAATCGAGAAGTTTCCGGTACCGAGCTAAGTTGTCATGTCTCGAGCCTAGAGCACAGGGGGGATTGGACGTGGAAGGCTCACATGAAAGAAGATGTCTGTAGCCTGCAGCAGGGTCGACCAATACATTGGGGCAACGCCCCTGGGATATAGTGGGTAGAAACAAGGCTGGGCGACAGAAAGAGTGCAGCAACGCAAGCGGCATGGAAGGAAGGTTTGGCCCAGCCGGCTGATAGGATGAATTGACATATGTTGTGAGGCGCACTTTTCGACATGGGGTTCATGTGGTGAAGTTCGCACCATTCGCATGTTCCGACGGCTAGACCCACAAAACAGGGACAAGCCAGTCATCGCTGTTGACTTCTTGCATGTAGTGCTAGAATCACTAGAACAATCCGAAGAGCAAGAAGAAGAGGCAGACGCAACGCAAGCTGGACCTCACAGCAGAGGCAGTGAAACGTGGGAGAGCAAAAGCGCTGTCGACACATTGCCCGCTTGCCAAGACGAGGCATTGGATGTGGAGCCGCCGCATTCTGAGATGCCGCCTCGCGCATCAGCCCACGACAGTCAAGCGCTCAGGACACATGCAAGTCAGGCATATGCCGGTACCAAGCCAGGCGTACTTGTGACTCCATGTGTCGTAGTTGTTGTTTGGAAAACATACTGCAGCTACGGCTTGATTGTTTTCAGCAGTGCTCAGATTCTTGGCATGTATTGATGGACATACGGACCTGCGCACCACCTTTTGGCCAAAACCTGCATGTTACGCAATATGACGACTACTCAATGGAAAAGGCTCCTTGAACTGCACATTTCTTCACCTGTGGGTGGCTGCAAGAAGATGCGTCATCTGTGGCATTGAGAGTCTGCGGGCCGCGTGCTTACGTGCAGGCCAGCTGATGCTCCTGCACGGCAAGAAGGATCCAGCTCCTCGGGTTGGCACCGGATTCAAGTGCGTGATAGTGCGTGTGTTGTTGCGAGGAGTTGGTGCTATTTCCACCTTCCGCGGCACACCTGGGTCTTCTGGAGACTTCCCACTGGAGCTTTCAGAGCCTTTGCGGCCTCCACAAGGTCTTCAGTTTTTTCATGAGCCAATGAAAAGGCAATCTGAGAAACTTGCTGTAGCAGTGTAGCAGGCGTCAGAATTGCCAGCCGGGGCGCGGCCTTTTCGAGTTGTGCTGCGAACAGGCTGGACCATGGATGTGTCGCATGATGAATAAATCCTGTTCATCTTCAGCGTTCAAGATTTCACAGTCCAAGCCATGTGAGGCGACTTTCTCTATGTGCCAAGAGGCTGGTGGATTTCGTCACGGGCACTTGCTGCTGCTATAACTGCGAGGCGCGGCCTTTCACCAATTTTCACCATCCTTGCACTGTTTAAGCACTTTCCATACTGTCGCTGTCTTGGGCTACAAACAGATGACGGCCTCTTTGTTTCGTGTTGGATCCTCGTTAATGTGTCCCGCCCCTCATAGTCAGCAGGTCACGTGGATCCTCCTTCAAAGGACTCCACTCAGAATCCACTCTCCTCGGGTTCGGCGGCCTTTTTGTTTCATGTTGGATCCTCTTTAATGTGCCCCCCGTCAACAGTCAGCAGGTCACGTGGATACCCTTTGAATGGACTCCACCCAGTATCCACCCTCCTTGGGTTCAGAGATTACACGACCCCGAACCGTGCGACAAGAGGCCAAGCCCGTGAACTCCAAGGCTCCCTGGCTTTAAGATTACAAGAACGTGTCCAAACAGATGACCTCGGCCCAGCTGACTTGACATTTAACGCGGACCCCTCAAACAGTGGCCCGATCCGGAACAGCCCTGCAAACTTGACTTTACGGTGACCCCCTGAGTGCAACATCAAGCATGTCTTTCCACAAGCTATGCCTGCAGCAGTGTCTGCTGGAACTGCGCAACCTGAAAAGTCATCACCTCGTCAAACGAGTGCCGATGAGGCATGATTTTCGTGTTGAGCGAGATGGTCAGAAGCCAAGCACTGCCATTCCAGGAGTCGACGCCATGTCTATTGCAAATGGGTAGGCTCACGTTGTGTGTCAGACTAATGAGAAGGTGGACAACAACACAGTGCACAGCCTTCACAGGCTCCGCAGGACTCGGCTGCAAGTGCGAGAGCGGACATGGTAAGCAGCACGTCTAGGATGCAGGTTACATCGTCCCGACTGCTTGCTGGATTTGCATGAGAGAGTGCTCATGCTTGCAGGCTGGTTCCGTTCCTGCCAGATGCAGAGGCCAAGGTCTGGGCCTTTGCATCAATCCACTCCATTCCTTTACTTCCGAGGAATGTGTGCTCAGCACGCATGCCTGATGCTGCTCGCAGGGGAGCTTCGTAGCTGTTCCGCGGCGTCCCGTCGGTTCACGTTTTGACCTCAGTGTCAAGTCAAGCAACGCCACAGCCTGGGCCTTTCAATCCTTCCTATGCCTTTCGGCCAGAAGCCAGTCCCCGATACAGCGAGATACAGCGAGGTACGAAGCGGGCGCACGCATGTCCAGATGCTAAGGTGGGCTTCTCGCAGGCATCGCTTCACAGCCTTCGACTGAAAAACCAATGGTTGCATACAGGAGCCTGATGATTCCATTTCGCACAGACAGGTATACACTGGGATAGTTCAGGGGAGGCACTGTCGAAAGCAAGACTTTGACCCGATGTCTTGTAGTTTTGCATTGGCTCGTGAGTCTGGGATGCCGTGGCAGACTGCAGTTGTTGCAGCAACAGTCCGTCAACATGACTATTCTCGGATGAGTAGCGAGTAGTGCTTCTGCCATGGCCTGTTTTCCAGCTGGCCGTTTCGGTGTGGCGACTCCAAGTTCCACATGCCGCGCATGGCCACAAGGCACATGCAGTCGAACTGCCAGGCATGTTTACGCTTTTGCTGAGACATGTCCCGGCTTAGGAGGTGTCGAGACATGATGCTTCGGCAGAAACTGAATGCAGAGCAGCAACGCTTGATTCCATTTCCCAGGTTCCCCCCAGCTTCACAGCCAGATCGGAGTCCCGGAGGGCCTCCTGTCATCAGCATGGCGTTGGGTCCTAGCGCTGGGAGCCTCGCACACATTTGCCCTGACAGGGAGGCGCTGCCGTGGCAAACATGGTAATATGCACGTGTTCCACCGACTGCAGACTATTGGAGGATATGTTGGCATGATGTGCACTAGCAGTCACTGGCACGACCTGCACGCAGCGACACATCGAATTACACGGCAAGGGATTGGCCACAAAAGAGGCCGTTACGGCGAACTCAGGGCAATAAGGTTTTGGGCTCGCACACGAGAGAGTGCGTCATTTTGACGCCTCCCCCGCAAACCGTGAGTGGGCACCGCGCAGTACTTCTGTCAATGTTGCCAGTGAGACCTACCGAAGCCTTTGAAACAGAAATTCCCTCCCAAATTTGCGTTGACGCGTGTTACTGGGCCAGGAATCATTTCTACAGGCTCCGTGTAGTAAAATTTTCAGAGCGCCGACAAATAGTCATTCTGCAGCGTCAGCGGGGCCCAATTTGGCGCAAGTGTTTTAGAGCGCCAAACAAATGAATGCCACAGGGTCCGGAAATTGGGCGATGTTCAAGGCAATCAGATGTAAGGCTTTGAGCGAGACACATTCTAGTATGTTTCAGGTCAATAAAAGAAGGGTTAACCAAGGGAAGTCCGCTTTTGCTGGTGTACACTTTTCATGGTTATGCTGGGGAAGGGCCCGCCCTCAAGGCAACCCCTCCCCGTTCGGGCGAACGGGGGTGTTTAGGGTCAGCTGGCTAGGTCGCCAGGTGTCTCCCACACGAAGCAGAAGGCGTGTGTGTCCCGCATGCAGAACCGTGCCACAGCATGCCATGTTGTCTGGACTTTGAGATACATTGGCTGCATGTATTTCAAAAAGGCACAAGCTCAAAGTTCTGACGTTTGGCATGTTGTATGACGATATGGCGTCCACACAGAACTGAGCTCTCAAAAACTATCAGAGTGCACAGCGCAGGTATCCAGGTATCATACAACAACCGTGCTAACAGAACCAAACAAAACAACAGCAAGGGCGCGTCGTACGAAACAGCAGCAACAGCAGCAAACTCTCTGGATCGTATCAGTCCTTTCTCGGCCATGTAATCAATCACGATTCGCACCTCCTTCACACGGGCAAAGTGCATATCTAACAGTCTAACAGCAAGATCAGACCACCTTCCAAAGGGTAGCCATCATCTGCCATCTATTCGGGTCAGGCTTGGGGGTTGACCAAACACGGCATCCTTCTTTCATTTCGCATGTTGGCTTTGCTTTGGCTGCCACGGGTGACCTGGTATTGTCTCATGTTGGTACGGGGTTATCAAGGTTCCGTATCTCATTCATATGATCACGAGTCTACTGTGTGGCGGTGCACACTCCAGCTCTGTGCTCGAGGCGAGGGCAGGTTTGCAGAGCGGTGTCGGGTTATCGTTTGGATTGGGGCTGAGGCAGCTGTTGCCTGCCCTTCTGCGTCGTTTGGTTTCTTATGTGGTTGCGAACCAGGTTTTTTTGGCGCCAAACCGTGCCAACTTCAATGTTGGAAGCCCAGAAAGTAGCTGGAAAGTGCCGAACCGTGCCAAAGTCCGCCGAAGAACCTCTCAACTCCTTAACTTCCCAAAGGCTAAGAGCTCCTCAACCCTCGACCCCTCCACCTTTCAACACCTCAAGCCCTCCAATCCCCCAACCCAGTTCATATTGTTGAGGGCGTTCAAAAAGTGCGAAATTGTTTGGGGGGCAGGGGGCCAGATACTAAACCGAGCACAGCATTGAATTCCCTCACGGCCCAACTTGCCAGAAGCATTTGCAAAATCACGATCAACAAGGCGAATCTTCTCGTTACATTCCTCGTAGAGCATCCCAGCACTTCCGAAGAAGATGCTCCGGGCGCATATACATCGTGCCATGGACCATGCCAATTTTGCAGTCTGAGATGCTAGCAATCCAATTTTCCTTTGGCTACGCAGGTGCCGGTCGAGATCATCAGTACGAGTTCGGGTGATGGCAGCCCAAGCATTTGCACCCGAAGTAGCGGCACAAGAGACATCCGAGACTCTTGCTGCGTCACAGTTGTACTGTCCCGTTTGTAAAGTGCGTCTCGGACAGCTTCAGTCATCGTGCTTTTTTATACTTGTGGATATTGTGGGCATTCTGCGCTTCACCGATATTGCGACGACCACCGAGGCAATGCACGAGCATTGCAATGCTGAAGCAGCACCTGGAAGGAAGGCGCCACAAGAAGATGCTGGCTCGTTCGGGTCTGGTACCCCTGACAGACACGCCTAAGGGAACAAAGGCGCAGAAGAAGACACGCAGGACACTCTGCGGAATTCATTGTGTACTGCACAGTTGATTGACGACACGGAGCCGATACTCAAGATGCTCAATGTATGCTGCCCGAGTGGTGTCGTAACTAAGCTCGCCGACGTTAACGCCTGTGCGCAGCAGGGCCAAACGCAACATGTGCGAACAACTGTTCTTACGCGTTGCCTGCTTTCAAAGCAAGGAGGTGGAACAAAATGATTGAGGAGAAGGACTTCCAAGCCCTTCTGGCGGCTGCACGCCTTCCACCGGAAGGACACGAGTCAAAGGCACCGTGGCCGTCCCTACTCAGACATTACCTATCCCTCAACCCTGCTCTGAAGATGCAAACTCGCATTCTCAAAATCTTGTTGATGTTTGAATACATTTGAACAATTTTTTCAGACAGCAAAAGCTGCCTGCGTGTGCGTGCAGGTGTTGCTGCTGAGTGGTATGCTGAAAGTCGCTGCTGCAGTTGGCGGCGCGGCGCAGTTTGCAGAATCCTTGAGCCTCATGGCACAGCCAGCGTATCGCGATGTGAAGATCAGCATAGAGACATTTCACGAAGTTCTCACGCAGTTGCTTTTCCGTGTACCAACGCCTGCTGCCATGGTGCGCATTGCCTTGAACCTGACTATCCAGAAGAAAGCTGATATCGTGCCTCTCCTGCCCGTTGATCTTGGTGATGGGCCCAGTGAGCATGAGCTTCATGAACTCTTCCGGGGCTGCCGCCCATGTACAGAATTGTCAGCTGACAGCTCAGAGTCGGAGATCGTCACCAGCGCATGCAATGCCTTGGAGCAGGTGGCTGTAGAAGATCTGCTGGGCAGGGTCGAGCTAAAGCCTGCCGCGGCAGGCTTCGTGGACTACTACAGCCATTTCCTGCCGATACTTCACTTAGACTTTCTGGAGGAGCTACGACAGAACCAGCGAATGCTGGAAAGGCCCCGCCATGCTGTGCGGCGCTTAAAGCCAGAGCCCAGTGACGATGGAAAGCTGCTATTGCTGAAGGTAGCTGCAGCCCAAATGTCTGAGCTCGATGTCTCTGCTGGGAATGCGCTCTTGCTCTCAAAGACAGGCATGAGTGTACTGCATGGAGGCGCTATATGCTTTGCGCCTATCACTTACTCGTCGTCACTTGGACCATTGGCAGAAGTGGCGTTAGATGTCGGAGGGAAGCCGAATGTGCGAGAGATTTGTGAAAAAGAGGAGCTCGTGGATGTATACTCTGCGGTGAATGTAGTGGCATACAAGCGACAACTTGCAGCACTCGAGAAAGTGGCTACTGCTGAAAAGAAAGGAAGGTTTCCACTGTGGGAGTTGCTGCCCTTGTGTGGGGTGGGCGGTGATATTGTGGACTCTTGGGCCAGCAAGATGAGAAGCAAGCTGTCGAATGGAAGGCCAGGCAAGGTTGGTGCGCTGGGTGGCCTGCCACAAAGTGAGAACGACGTGAGCGTGCTGAAATTGAAGTCTTTGGCTGCAGAAGACCCCAGCAGCCTGTACAGCCGGCAGCTCTCATCCCCTTCGAAAGAGCTCAATGCGTCGCAGGCGCAGGCTACAGAGGCTGCGTTGCAAAGGCGTCTTACGGTGATCCAGGGGCCGCCTGGCACAGGAAAGACCCACGTGTCGGTTGAGATTCTCAGACTCTGGTCACGCATGGGAGTTAAGCCCATTCTTGTGACGTCTCACAACAACGTGGCAGTGGACAATGTCGCCGAAATGGCTTTTGCAAAAGGTTTGGATGTCGTTCGTATTGGCAGGCAAGACCGCACCAGCTCAGCTCTAGATCATTGTTCCTTAAACTCCATTTTGGACGAAATTTGCGGTGAGGACGAGGGGCCATCGTTCAGATTTTCGACAGCACTTCGGGTCTTGAAAAATGCCGACGTAGTTTGCGTCACCACAATTGCATCAGGCACCAAGCTCTTGAACAAAGTGGCCTTTGGTGCGATTTTGATGGATGAAGCTGCTCAAACAACAGAGGTGTCGGCATTGGTGCCCCTGGCCCATCTGCGTGCTGATCGCTTGGTCCTTGTTGGAGACCACTGCCAGCTGCCAGCCACAGCTTTGTCACTCGAGGCCGAGACACGTGGCCTGACCCTTTCCCTTTTCCAGCGCCTGGTAATGAGAGGATTCCCTTCCTACTTTCTCGACACACAGTTCCGCATGCACCCGGTGATTGCGGAGCACAGTTCTGAGGCATTCTATGACTCGAAGCTCCTGTCAGGGGTGTCCGCTGCAATGAGGCCTCCACCTGCAGGTTTTGAATGGCCTTGCCCATCAGAAGGACTGGCTTTCATCGACACTGGTGGTTCTCAAGATTGTTCCGAGGAGAGGGACAGGCTGTCGTGGTGCAATCCTGGTGAAGCCGTTCTGTTGACACAGATCCTGGCCAGCATCCTGAGCACCGGTGAGTTGGCAGCATCTCAGATTGGAATTGTCACCCCATACATGGGCCAAGTCCGCACACTTCGACGCCTGATTGACAAATACCTGAGCCTAAGTCCAGCGGCTTCCCAAGAACTTCTTGTTGCTTCTGTCGATTCGTTCCAGGGCCGCGAGAAGGAGCTAATTCTGTTCAGCGCGGTGCGCTGCAACAAGGCAGGGCATGTTGGCTTCCTGGCTGATTGGCGGCGCCTCAATGTCATGCTCACGAGAGCACGGAGGGGCTTGATCATTGTGGGCGATCGCTGGACTCTGAGGGCTGACCCCTTTTGGCGCACATATGTAGATTGGGCCGAGAGAAGGGGCTATGCTCTGGATTTTAGTTTGCCCGAGACAGCTTCCTGAATGTGATGAAAGCTACCAAAACACGCAGAGGTAAACCGCGACTCAGGGCGATGTTTGCGCATCACTACACCTTCAGCAGTGCTTCAGGCTGATTTGTTTTTCATTTGGCCGAGCTATGATAGGTGGGTCTTATCGAGTCGTTTCCGAAAACGCGGCGTCGGGCCTTTCCTCCGGCAGATCAAATGCTTTGTATTTTTACAGCATGTTATGACTGTTACGATATGTTCTGTCTGGCACCAGCGAGCTTGTCCTCCGCTAGCTTGTCCTTTGCTCTCCCGTGCGTCCAGCACACCATATCTCGGCCGCGACGACTGACATGGGACTCGATAGAAACAAAGAAATATGTGGACCTTAAGGGTCTAGGTGAGTAACCCTCTGTGTGGAATTACCAGAGAAAACCGTTCCAAGTATTTCATGCGATTCAAAGCGCTTGAAACACTTGAAACGGTTTTCTCTGGGGCTAGTGGGTGACCCCAACCCATTAAAACACTTGAAACACTTCTCTCTCCAGAGAAAGCCGTTTCAAGTGTTTCAAGTGTTTCATGTGTTTCATGTGTTTCAAGTGTTTCAAGTGTTTCACGAACATTCTATGAGTGCAAGCGTCGACGATGCGGCCGTTGAGGTCCTCATCTTTGTGTGGTTTGCACAGTACATGCGGAAGTTCAGCTGTCTGTACATGCCTGGCTAGCTAGTGCACACACACCAAAACATGCAGCTGGCCGGCTCTCACGTACAACCCATGTCTCCAGCTCTTGCATGGCCTGGGCTTGTAGCTGGCTGTATCGGGCGTTCATGTCGAGAAGGATGGAGAAGGTTTACACTGGCTACCACATTTGTTTTTCGAGGAACATGACGCTCTGGTTTCAGAGGTTCAAGATTCATGATCTCCTCAAGAGAATACCTTAACGCATGTTTAGCACTGGGTAGCTGAATCATGCAGTGCAAACAAGCTTGAAGCGAAAGCTGGCTTAATTTTAAGCCGCACCTCAAGGGAGGCCACGCCTCATAGAACCATCCTGGGGTATGTCCCGAAGCAAGTTCTGGCAGACATCCAGGACATCCAGGCAATGGGGCATCGGGCCTGAGATGGGTGTCACAATTCAAGTAGAACACTGTAGCTTGAGACAGGAAATAGTCACAGCAAAAGGAGTAGCGATGTTTAACGATGTTGGTTTGTAGCCAGGTTGTAGCCCTTGGCAGCCATGGCATGGAAGTCTTCGCTGCCACCGCGGAAGAAGTTTGTCTTGGATGCGGGCTGGGATGGGCTGGGAGTGCCTGATGGTGAGGCAAAGAAACCTTGCAAACATGGCTCGCGCGAGAATAGCTTCTTCCTGGCCCAGCAGTTGCAAGTATCCTCTCAGCGAAAGCACCCCCCCCAAGCTAGAGGCGGCACCCACCAGAAGTCGGCGTTCCTCCTTTTTTTTGCGTCGGATCTTGGTCTCGAGCGACTCATAGGCCGAAGCCTTGAACCGCGCTGCACGGCGGAAAGCCTGCGAAAGCCTCCTGCAGACCAGAACCTATTGGGGCTTAAGCTTCCAGTGATCTACAGATGCCACACGATGCTAGCAGACACGAAAATGAGTCGTACAGTGACTCGTACAGCAAAATAGGAAGTATGAATCCTGGGTTCGATCCCAACAGTTTCAACGTGCTAGTAGTTGGTTGTAGTAGGAGGGGCACCAGTAGTAATAGCACCAGCAGCAGAGGTGGTAGTTATGGACCACTATGCAGTCGCTCCAGGGGTACTGCAGTAGTTCGGTTTGGAGTGTCCTTGCGGTGCACCTCGCGCGGCGCCCGGCAGCCGTGTTGCAGAGGCCGGTCGCGTCGAAACATTTTCGGTGGCACACCATGCGGCGTGTCCTGACGGTTGAGTTGTGATGTTGCTTGAATTCAAGGCGCAGGCGCATGACACAGCCGCAACAGAAGAAGAAGAAGAAAAATAATAAGAATAAAAAAGAATAAGGAGAAGACGTAGAAGAAGAAGAAGAAGAAAAAGAGAGGAAGAAGATGAAGATGAAGATGAAGATGAAGATGAAGATGAAGACGAAGATGAAGAAAAAGAAGAAGCCCTAAACCAAAAAACGGACCCTAACATGCCTGAACAGATGATTGAAGTCTCCATGCGAAGGGTCTCGGATCGAGCCTTTTAGATTTTCAGGCAGTGCTGTGTACCCCAGCTAGTTTCTTTAGCGACTTTGTATCCAGCCGAATGCAGCCATAGCTTTTTGTAGTCCACCTTGCACGCGGTTTTCTTTGCTTCATGTTCGAAGCCCTGGCCCAGGCGGCCCAGATGTGGAAGCTCCACCCGCAGATTGCTTCCACTGGGCCATGATTTCCGCACGCCGGATGACCAAGGCCGGGATACTGGCAGACCGGCAACATGATTCTGCAAGCCTCAGACTGTCCAGGAGGGCGTTCCACGTTGCTTTCAGTTGCAGCTTGCGTCGTAGCAATGCGACGTGCGACTTGGCTGTGACACATAGACAAACAGGCAGTCTCAGTCTCAGAGCAAGAGCACTTTCCATGATCATGGCTGCCCACGGGCTGGATCATTGTTTTTGCGTTTTAGCCATTCTTTTATACCCACAATCGGGTTTCCACGTCAAAAGCACAGAATAGAGGGTTCCTTCATTAAAGTACAAAGGAAATAGAGGTGTTTTCGATTGCAATACGGACACCAGCCGACGGAAGGAAAGCAAGAAGGAAAGAAGGAAGGAAGGAAAGAAAGACAGTAAAAAAAGGAACGACATGCAGAAAGAAAGAAGTGCAAGAAAGAAGAAACAAAAGAATGAAGGAAAGGAATAAAGAAAGAAAGAGAGCTTCAAAGCATACATGAATTTTGTCTTGAAACCCATCCATCATGCAAGCATCATGTTTGCCCCCTTCTTTCTGAATGTGCAACCTTGCCTTCAAGGATGTATGAATCTTTGCCCATCGTGCGAGCACTGTGTTTGCAAAGGGGGGGGGGTGCCCCCACCAACCCCCCCCCCCCCGCCCCGCACGTTTAAGCTGTGCAGGCTTGCTTATAAATCCCCTTTTCTTCAAGCCCATCATGTGAGTATTGTGTTTTTTTTTTGGGGGGGGGGCGTGGGTGGCTTAAATAGGGTTTATTTCGAAGCTGGGACTCGGGTTTTTCTGCAGAGGAAACCTGAAGGTGAGACAGCCTTCACCTCATTCCGCTTTCCCATACCGCTCCAAAGGGGAACGAAAAGGGAAAAGAAAGGAAGGAGAGAGAGCCAGAGAGGCGGGGAGAAAGACAACTGCCTAGCCTAGAACCCTCCTCGTGAATACAGAGGTCTCTTGCATTGTTGAAACGAGCCCTTCCCAAACAGGAAATCGCAAGCGCCGTGCCCCTCAAGCAGTTTTTTGAAGCAATCCCTTCCCAAATGGCAAAGTCGGCAGCACGTGAACCGTGTCCCGCAAAAACCCCTTCCCAAGAAAACAACTCGCAAGCACCGTGTCCCTTTTTGTTTTGGACATAAAGAATGTCCCGCTGTAGCTCTATCGACCTAGGGTAGGCCTAGGCTAGGCCCGTCAATCAAGGGGAGGGATGTTGTAGGGTCGGCCTACCCCTACCGCTACGGCCAGCTTGCAGGGTAGCCTTCCTTGATGTGGGGGTAGGTAGGCCCACCTTCGGTGGGGCTACAGTACTAGGTCTGCCTGTAGGGGGGGGTTAGGCCTAGGAGGGTAGCCCTACCCCCCACACCTAGGCAAGGTTTAATCAGACCCACCCTGTAGGGTAGGGGTAGCCTACCAGGCCTACCCCTACTAATTGTAGTAGTATATTAGTAGTAGTAGTAGTAAGTAGCAGGCCTGTAGCCGTAGTAAGTAGTAGTAGTAGTAGTAGTAGTAATAGTAGTAATTAGTAGATAGTAGTAGTAGTAGTAGTAGTAGTAGTCGTTGTCGTAGTAGTTTGTTGTCGTAGTAAGTTGTAGTAGTAAGTAGTAGTAGAGCAGTAATAGTAGTTAGTAGTAGTAAGTAGGTATGTAGTAGTAGTAGTAGTCGTATAGTAATTAGTAAGAAGAAGAGTATAGTAGTTCGTCGTAGGTAGTATCCGTAGAAGTAGAAGTTAGAAGTAAGAAAGTAAACAGAAGTAAAGTTAGAAGTAGAAGCAGAAGTAGAAGTAAGTAGATAGTAGTAGAGAAGTAGTAGTAGTATTAAGTAGTAGTAGTAGTAGTAGTAGTACTACTAGTACTAGTACTAGTACTAGTACTGGCGGAGATACTAGTACTTAGTACTAGTACTAGTACTAAGTACTAGTAGTACCTAGTACTAGTACTAGTAACTAGTACTACTAGTACTAAGTACTAGTACTAACTAGTACTAGTAGTAGTGTTGTAGTAGTAGTTCGGGGAGTAGTAGTAGAGTAGTAGTCGTAGTAGTAAGTAGTAGTAAGGTAAGTAAGTAGTAGTACTAGTAGTCGTCCGTCTACTACTAGTAGTAGTAGTAGTAGTAGTGCGTCGTCGTCGTCATCGACAAAAAGCGGGGGGTTTTGGGGGGGGGGGGGGGGGGGGGCGCAGCCCCCCCCCCATTTGCTCAGATTGGCCTGTAGTCCTACACTGTCGGTCTGCTGAATGAAATAGAATGAGTAGAGAAGTAGAGCATTAGTGTAAATTCCACCCCCCCCCCCGTTTCTTTTTTTCTTGTCTTCATTCCTCGAAAATTAGAGAAGCAGAGAATTCATAGAGAATTAGAGTATAATCCAAATGACAACAAAGTCCTTTCTGACGTAATCAAAAAGCGGGGGGTTGGGGGGGGCGCAGCCCCCCCCATTTGCTCAGATTGCCCTATGGTCCTACACTGTCGGTCTGCTGGGATAGAATGAGTAGAGAAGTACAGAATTTGTCTAAATGAGAAAGCCAATCATAAAGTCAACCACAAGCTCAGGGTGATAGGGGTGTTCATGAAGATATACCAGTAAGCATTTCATACGCCCACTTCGTTCAAATCCTTTCTAAAATCGCTGATTCTACAGCATTTGGTCTAGAAACTGTGCGGCCATGAGACTTCTTTCTACATTCTTGTATCCAGAGCTTGGAATTCTGGTTCACTGACTCTCTAGACTCACTCCTTCTAAAGGTACAGTTTCCAAGCCTGTTGACCGTTCCCTTCATGAGGCTCTTTAATGAGTGACAAGACCAAGAGAGAAGACTAATGAACTAATGAGCCAGGTGGGCAGTTAATAGAAGATGGAAACCTTACCATGAGCTCTCTATCTTAACCTGGTATTGCTTATGGACAGATCACCCACTTAATCTCTTGGGAAGTTCTCTAACCTCTGTCACTCATTCCTTTCTCACGTTCACCCAACCTTTAGGACATAATATTATACCTTAGGACCTTTTCACCCTTATAGTTCTCTCGCCCGTAGAGAAAGAGCTCCTTCGCTGTTTTTTCAAGACATGAAGAGTTATTCTAGCTGTTGACAAAGGCAACTGGAAACGACGCTCCAATCTTTTCCCAATAGGAAAGGAGCATGACAAGCCCGTCTTCGGCAAGAGTGGGAGGAAGATAGACAAAGTCACCTCAGAAACGGATAGGGAACGGGAGAGCATCATAGAGCTTCTTTACTTCTTTATAAAGGAATGACGAGAGCTCCTTTGCCTTCAAGGGATGGAGATGCGCTTTCTCTGAATGGAAAATGAGAAAGTTTTCCTTCCACGTTCAATTCTTGAACTCGGAATTCCAATACCTGCAATCGGAACGCAGAGAGCTCCTCTACTTCTTGGCAGTAAATGAAAGAGCTCCTTCGTGCGCAGCGTTCGCAAGCGGTCACAAGCGTCCGTAAGCGTTCGCCAGTGTCAGATTTCGCGCTGTTAAGGGGAACTCCAGGACGCGCGTCCCCACGGTGTTCCGAATCAGTCAAGCTGAAGGGAGAACTCCACAGGTCGCGTCGTTCCACGGCGTTCCGAATCCGTCAAGCTAAGGGGGAACTCCACAGGTCGCGTCGTAAGCTAAAGGGGGAACTCTACAGGTCGCGTCGTTCCACGGTGTTCCGAATCCGTCAAGCTAAGGGGGAACTCCACAGGTCGCGTCGTTCCGCAGCGTTCCGAATCCATCAAGCTAAGGGGGAACTCCACAGGTCTCGTCGTTCCACGGCGTTCCGAATGCATCAAGCTGAGGGGGAAATCCCCCCACCCTTAGTAATGCAGGAAAGGGGGGTGCCAAATTGCAGAACATTAGTTCCTGCATTTTCCGCGTTCCGCGCGTCTCCTAATGGGGGGGGGGGGGGGGGGGGGGGGGGGGGGCGGAGGGCGGAGGGCGAAAAATGCAGGTGCACTCCGTCTAGCAAGGCATCTTCGCTGCGTTCCTGAGACCATAGGAGGTAGGCGTGCTTTCGAACCATCAAGTAAGTTTCTAACAATGTTGTTTCATAGTTGTCCTTGCATCACTATAGAAGCAGGGTGGGACATTCGAGAAAAAATGCACGTGGCGCTGTTTCCGTTCCGGTGATGGACGTCGGCCAGAAAATGGGCGCGCTCTCTCCTTCCACCCATGGAGGCAGCGTCTCCTTCTATTCTGAGGGACAAGTCTGCTTTATTGTAACAGAAGTCATGGCCTGATGCTCCATGATTTCTGCTTCTGTGTGTGCGAATGTTGCCGACTGGGTTGCTTGGGTGTAATTAAGCCCTCTTTCGCAAGGTTTTTGCAATCATTCTTGGCTCATTTCACGCGCGCGATTTGCACGGTCTGCGCACAGGCCTCTTGCAAAGACCTTTGCAAAAGAGTCCTAGATGCGAGCCGTCGAGCCCTCGCAAAATAGCCGCTGGGGGAGGGGAAGTGGCTTATGTCGGCAAAAAAAGCGTTCGCGTCAACTCCAACATGGATCCTGCTATAGTTGGGCCAAACAAGGTCTGCCGCGCAATGTTCACTGTTATTTTTACACAGGGGCATCACAAATATTGTTGAACCAGGACCACTAGAAGGGACCTGCGCCTGCAGGGAGGATGCTGTAATTGCTGAGGGGTCAACACGGAAATTGAACCATTCAGATTTTCCCTTGCGTTTCGTGGCCCATGTGTTTCGCGGCAACCTCTTTCTCATATAGATCCATAGAAATCGCAGCGTGCAGTGGAGCTGAGGGGTGAATCTGAATGCAGTAGCCTGCAAAACCAGGTTGTCGAGGCTCACCCTCTCACACCGTGTCGGGGATCCACCCCCGACATCTTTGGTCGTCGAGGCTCTCTTCCGAGCACTCATGCGATCAAGGGTTTCAGATTTAGGGCACGTGGCGGAGCAAGCTTACCTCGGAGGAAGCTTGGAAAAACAAGGCCCACACTTGCAGGCCCCTCCTTTCCTACATTTTCTGAGATCGTCCAAGTCGCGTCGTTCCGCAGCGTTCCGAATCCGTCAAGCTAAGGGGGAACTCCACAGGTGGCGTCGTAAGCTAAGGGGCAACTCCACAGGTCGCGCGTCCCCACGGTGTTCCGAATCCGTCAAGCTAAGGGGAAACTCCACGGGTCGCGTCGTTCCGCGGCGTTCCGAATCCGTCAAGCTAAGGGGGAACTCCACAGGTCGCGTCCACAGGTCGCGTCGTTCTGCGGTGTTCCGAATCCGTCAAGCTAAGGGGAAACTCCACAGGTCGCATCGTTGCTAAGGGAGAATTCCACAGACTCCTCTCCTGCAAACCCACTAGAACCCCGAGCCTAGGAAATCCCCCCCAAAAATACCAAATGTTAGTGATTGTTGACCTTTTTGGTTTTCATAGACTCACCCCGACACCGAAGGAAAATAGAATTTTTAATAAATCTCCCTTTGCAAATGAATTGATTTTCTATATTTTGGCCTGAAATTCTTTGAAACCCTTCGAAACCTTTCAAATCCTTCTGAACCCTTTTCAGCCCTTCTAAAACCCTTCGAAATCATTCTAAACCCTGACCCTGAAGCTCATCAGCCCCGAAGCGCGCCCTGCCTAAACCCCTAAGCTCCTAACCCCCTTCACGTGGCCTGAGCCTCCTAAACCCTGAAGCTCTTAGCTTGAGGGTTTAGGGGGCTCAGGGCACGTGCCCTGCCTAAACGCGTAAGCTCTGAAGCCCCTAAGCGTGCCCTGAGCCCCCTGAACCCTCAAGCTCTTGGCTATTTGAAGTAGGGTCTATATTGATATCATTGGCGATTTGGTGAGAGTATAGCGGTTCCTCGCGACAATTGGTGAGTGCGTTCTTTGAGTTTTTTTGGTGCTTCTGCAAGCTTAATCGACGGCGACGCACGCCTTCCGAAACCTCAGCCCAGGCCACGCCGGAGGTTTGGCCCGCTTGGCAATCGCGGAATCCCGCGACCTTACTTAAATCTTAAACCTTTCCCTGAAGCTTCGGGTCTTGGGGTCTGCAATGGGGACTGTCTCGCAGTAGGTGGGGGGGGGGGTCACGTGGATTCCCACCTATTTTTCCTGGGGCCAGCCACCTATTCTACCACCGTGGGGGGGGAAAGAAAAATCAGTTCTGTAAGGTTCCAAGACAAAGCCATGGAAGTCAGTGCGATTTGTGATGACTCTTATTTCTGAGCTGTTGTGTTGGCACCGTGGTCAACCCTCCCCCCCCCCCCCAAACACGTCCAAGATCCAGAAATAGGTGGCCCACCTATTTCGACCCCCCCCCCCCACCCCCCTCGCCCCCCGAAGGGGTCAACATGGTCGGCAACCCTGAATCCTGTTCGGGGTTTTAAGAAGTTCTTCTTCGAGCTGGTCGGATTCCCAAAGGCACCAAGGCATCAAGAGTGCAGAACGTCTTTGTTATGTCTATGACTGCCTAAACGATACGTTGGCTTCGACTGGCGAATTCGGTGTAGCGTTTCGAGGCGCTCGACCATTGAGGCAAGATCGCAAGGCCGGGCTACGGCATCTGCCGAATCCCCGACTGCCAGAACACAGCCACAAAGTTCTTCTGCTACAGATCTTTCTTCTACAACATAAGGCTCTAAGCCGCCAGGATCTCCCATGCGCCTACAAAGCAAATCTGCATCAAACAAAAATCTCCAAAACCAAAGTCGCTGTCGTTTGCGCCCCCGCGTGGTCTGATCCGATGGGGCGCAGCTGCCCCACCATAAAGGTTGTGCAGGGGGTAGGGGCCACCCTACCCAGGGCAGGAGCGCCTAATCTCATCAAACCCTCAACGCCTTGTGCTAGACGCTGTAGACCCTGAATGCCATAGGGTAATTAGGAGAGGGGAGGGTCGGGGAGAAAAGGGGGGGCAGGGCAGGGGTGGGGGGAGTTTCGTGGTAGGCGGCTATGGTGCCTGGACTACCACATTCTCGCTCCCTCCAGAATTGTGGGTGGCAGGGCGAGGGTGGGGTGGGGCAGCGTGGGTAGGGTGGTCGGGCAGGGTAGGGTAGGCTGCCAGGCTCTATCCTACGCTCGCTCACGCAGCATGTCACCCAGGAGATGATCCCGAAGATGCCTGAGCACAAGAGGTAACACGGGGGACAGTCGTAGAGACTGAGGAGCCGAAACTTAGGCCCTGCACCGCCATCATGGGATGATCGTTGAAAGTCTCAAAGAGTCACAGCAAAGGCAGCGGGCGCCGACTGCTTCTGCGACGAGGCTCACGTCCGGACTGCGTGCTCTTCAAAGATAGTCAGATAGCCATTCGTTGAGATGCAGCTCCTTGAGGGCTCGCGCCGTGTGCCTCCTTTAAGAACCTGTTGAAGAGCGACTTCACCCTTCCCCCCGAGGCCAACAAGCCAGGGGAGATGGACACAATCGACGGAGAGGAAATCGTTTGGGCCAGCCAGCAGCCCCAGTTGCAGCCTATAGGAATGCGTGGAGCCCTTTAACCAGCAGGTTGGGAGGGTAGGTCGGTAGAAGTAGGCAGAGGGGGGACGAAGCATTGGGAAGGGCAGGGATCCTCAAAACACGAGGCTGGGGCAGGGGTAGGGGTTGGGCGGCCCTTCTTAAAATTGGATGATGGGATGAGAGGGGGGTGCAGACAAGGGCGATGGGGGCGGTGGGTGAGGGTCGCCTCCCCACTCCAGCAGGGGTCGGCGGATTGGAAGGCAACGCACGCCTTCCGAAACCTCAGCCAAGGCCACGCCGGAAGTATGGCCAGCTTGGAAATCGCAGAATGCTGCGACCTTGCTTAAATCTTAAACCTTCCCCTAAAGCTTCGGGTTTTGGGGTCTGCAGCCCTGAATCCTGTTTGGGGTTTTAAGTTCTTCTTCGAGCTGGTCGGATTCCCAAAGGCGCCAAGGCATCAAGACGCAGCATGTCACCCAGGAGATGATCCCGAAGATGCCTGAGTACAAGAGGTAACACGGGGGACAGTCGTAGAGAGTGAGGAGCCGAAACTTAGGCCCTGCACCGCCCTTAATAACCCTTCTAAACCTTGAAAAACTCTTCGAAATCTTTCCAAACCCTTTTAAACACTTCTACTGCTAAGCCCTGATAAACCCTTCAAAAAGGCTCTTTGAAAATCTTTAAAACATGTGTAATCTCTTCAAATATTTGTAAGCTTTTAAATGTTTTAGATTCTTAAAAAATCTAATTTCAATAATTCTAAATATAAAATTCTCGGTGGTCTTCAGCCAGGAAGAAAGCGTTGTTGGAGCCTCGCGGCAGCAATATTCCCTCCTGCACTCCAGATAGTGATTCCCTAAACCCCAAGTCAAGTCGTTTTCCTCGTGTTTGTTGCTCGACAACATGCTGCGTTTCAACGCTTCGGCACGTTTTTCCGCTGAGGCTCCATCTCATGACTTCTGTGAAGCCTGACCAGGGCCGCGCGCAAGAAAAAGGAGCCGCAATTGGGGCCTTTGATGTGCGGAATTTTTGGGTGGGTTTCTACTTTGGGGCTTCGGGTTAGATGTTAGGTTCTTACATGTTTCAAATGATATTCCGGTACTAAGGGCTTTGTGTGAGCAGGATAAATCTAAAACCTGAACCAGAAAAACCTGAACACTGAATCCTAAGGTTCATCATTCGAAAACCTGCATAAATTCGTGCATTCATGAAATGAAATGAACGCATGAAATTCGTGCGATTATTCACTTCACTTTTCTTCATGTCTTCGTTCTCTCTTTTCATTCCTTCTCTATTCATGCGTCGTGTTCGCTGGCTCACTTACTCCTTATAAGAGAGAACGTGAAGAGAGCAAAAAGCATATTAAATTAGCGCATTCTATAAGGAAAGAAAAGACGCATGAGAATATTATTAATAAGACTGCAAGAAAGCAAAGGAAAGTGAGTAAAAAGAGGTGAAAAGACGGAAAGCAGTAAGAAAACGATTAAATCCAGGGTCTTATCGCGGTAACGCCTCAATGGTCAAGAGATTGATGATGAAGTGAATAAAGGTGAAGTGAACTATATTAAAAGGCAAGGCATGAATGAACAGAGTGAATGAATAGTGAACGAAACGGGGGGATTTAATAGATAACCGTCTATAACCAAGAATTATTGACCATTGACTGCCAAGAACAAATCACCCAAGAAGCATTCCATCTTTCTTGGGTTTCTTTGCGCTCATTACATTCACGCGGTTTTAATAAGAGCGTCTGTAATGTCAGGACCTCCAAGATGAAGAGATCTTTCCTCGCGATGGAAGCCGCCAGAATGAAGGATCTCTGAGAAGAAGCCCATGGAATGAACTCTGTGAACCAACACACAAGACATGAGTTGAGGGGTTCGGTATGGGGTTTCGGCGTGCTGTTTCCTTTCGGTCTTCTGGCAGAGCGCAGCTCGCTTCGTGGAAGTCCAATAGAGATGCGCGTTGGGTCAGTGGTGCTGGTTGATGATATTTCAGGGAGAAACTCCTTGACGTTTCCCTTGGATGAGATCATTGTTTGCGTGCACGTGAAGCCCATTCATCCACATGTATGCTTCATCAAAAAGTTAGCGCTGCGTGCAAGACAAAAGCATGAGCTGCGCCGTGGGCCCCCGTAGGGGCAGCGCAGCGAATGCAGTTTTGGCGCGCGCAGCGCTTAAAATTTTTTAATTAACCCTAAATCCCTAACCTTAAAACCCTAATCCCTAAATCGTAACAACCCTCAAAACCCTAATCCCTAAACGGTAACAACCCTCAAAACCCTAATTCCAAAACGGTAACAACCCTGAAAACCCTAATTCCAAAACGGTAACAACCCTGAAAACCCTAATCCCCAAACGATTTTAGGGTTTAGGGTTTAGGGATTTTTAGGGTTTAGGGATTTTTAGGGTTTAGGGATTTTTAGGGTTTAGGGATTTTTAGGGTTTAGGGATTTTTAGGGTTTAGGGGTTTTTAGGGTTTAGGGATTTTTAGGGTTTAAGGATTTTTAGGGTTTAAGGATTTTTAGGGTTTAGGGATTTTTAGGGTTTAGGGATTTTTAGGGTTTAGGGATTTTTAGGGTTTAGGGATTTTTAGGGTTTAGGG